GTGAAATTGTATCTCCTTGCTTTACACCTTTCTTGATTTGGGATGCGGAGGGGAGTTATGAGGAGAGTAATGTCTGTTGTACATCCAGTATTCGCTTCCTTCAACAAACTGATGTACTGCATGTTAATGCCCTGCTCTGCGAGCGCCTTTAATATTGCGTTAAACTCGACGCTATCAAAGGCCTTTTCATAGTCAATGAAAGAAACGCACAGTGGGAGTTTGTATTCCATCGCTCTTTCTAGTAGCTGGCTAAGGGTAAATATATGGGCGATTATGCTGAAATTTCTTCAAAACCCTGCCTGCTCTCTCGGCTGTTGTTCATCCAGAATCTGTGAGAGTCGTTCGTTATCACCTTTGTAAAGAGCTTGTAGATGTGAGAGAGCAGGCATATAGGGCGGTAGATCTTAAGATTTTCTCGATCACCCTTCTTGTGCAGCAAGATGGGATTCAACTCCTTCCAGCTTGATGGTATTTTTCCTTCTTCAAGATATCTACTAAATCTTAAAGCAAGGGCCTTCCAAAGTTTTTCGCCTCCTGCAGAAATAATTTCTGACGTTATTCCATCTTTGCCTGGAGCTTTTCCCTTCTTCATCTGATGTAGTGCACTTCAGATTTCGCTGATGATTATTTGGGGGTGTCATAAATATAAAGGGAAGGGTAAACCCCTTTGAAATCCCTCCTGGCCAGGGGAAAGCTCCTCTCACCTGTAAAGGGTTAAGAAGCTAAAGGTAACCTCGCTGGCACCTGACCAAAATGACCAATGAGGAGACAAGATACTTTCAAAAGCTGGGAGGAGGGAGAGAAAAAAAAGGGTCTGTGTCTGTCTGTATGCTGCTTTTGCCAGGGACAGAACAGGAATGGAGTCTTAGAACTTTTAGTAAGTAATCTGGCTAGGTATGTGTTAGATTATGATTTCTTTAAATGGCTGAGAAAAGAATTGTGCTGAATAGAATAACTATTTCTGTCTGTGTATCTTTTTTGTAACTTAAGGTTTTGCCTAGAGGGGTTCTCTATGTTTTTGAATCTAATTACCCTGTAAGATATCTACCATCCTGATTTTACAGGGGGGATTTCTTTATTTCTATTTACTTCTATTTTTTATTAAAAGTCTTCTTGTAAAAAACTGAATGCTTTTTCATTGTTCTCAGATCCAAGGGTTTGGGTCTGTGGTCACCTATGCAAATTGGTGAGGCTTTTTATCCAACATTTCCCAGGAAAGGGGGGTGCAAGTGTTGGGAGGATTGTTCATTGTTCTTAAGATCCAAGGGTCTGGGTCTGTAGTCACCGAGGCAAATTGGTGAGGCTTTTTACCAAACCTTGTCCAGGAAGTGGAGTGCAAGGTTTTGGGAAGTATTTTGGGGGGAAGGACGCGTCCAAACAGCTCTTCCCCAGTAACCAGTATTAGTTTGGTGGTGGTAGTGGCCAGTCCAAGGACAACGGGTGGAATATTTTGTACCTTGGGGAAGTTTTGACCTAAGCTGGTAAAGATAAGCTTAGGAGGTTTTCATGCAGGTCCCCACATCTGTACCCTAGAGTTCAGAGTGGGGGAGGAACCTTGACAGGGGGACGTGTTCTTCTGACTCTTGGAGCGTTGGGAAAGGGACGTTGATTCTTGATTTGAACAGTTCTATATAGAAGTCCTTGCAGACCTCCTCTATCCCCGCTCTGTCGATTACTGTCTCTCCGTCCTTGTTCTTCAATGCTGTTATGCTCAATCTATACTGTGTCAATTCCCGCTTGCATATCCTGAGGCTCTTGCGTGATTCAGCTGTTTTGAGGAGCTTTTCTTTCTGGAAGTTCTCTAAGTTGTCCTTCAGTTTTCACCATATAAGCGTGCACAGAATGGAGTACTCAAGGTTGTTATCCGAGCTCCTTTTCTTGTTTCTCCGCTTCTCCAAGAAGTTTTTTGTTTCTTCAAGATTCTTCCTTTCACCTTCTTCAGCTTTTCAATTTCAGCTGCTTTTATGCAACTTCTCAGCTTGTCAGCAAAGATTCTATAGTCCTCGTCACACTTTTCCATCTGGCTCCAGTCAAACCCAGAAATCGCTTTCTTCAGCTTTGCTTCATTGTATATCTTCTGCCGCTGTTTCCTGTTTGCCATCTGTAACGCCTTCTTTTCCACCGCTTAGTTGAAAATCAACTTTGCTCTAAGTAGGTGATGGTCACTGGTAGTGTTGAAAGGCTGCACCACAGAGACGTCTTGAACTATGCGCCTTTTATTGACTAAAATATAGTGATTTCATTCTTGCTCTTCGCGTTTGGCGCGATCCATGTCCACCTTCTTGCGGTCTTCTTTTCGTACCAGGTGTTTGCCACGTAAAGTTCTTTCGTTTCTACCATCGCTACCAGCCTTACTCCTCTTTCATTCCTTTCACCCCTGCCATATCTCCCTACGAACTTTTCGCCAGCTTTCCCTCGCCCTACCTTGGCATTGAAATCTCCCATCGTGACAGTGTAAATGGACTTTTGAACGAGGGCTCTTTTGAGCTCTCGGTAGAATTCTTCCACTTCTTCTTACAATTTCTTCTTACTAATTCAAAGCTAGCAAAATGGAGTATAAAGCAAAATAAGCAAAACGGAGTACAATTTTACTTGAGACAGTTTTTTTCCAATTAGGCTTTTGCTTACAGACACATCATTTTATGCGAGGACTTAGCTGTCTAAGGATTGCATAGATATAATAATACCTATATCGTGCTTATCGGTAGATCTCAAAGTGCTTTACTACGAATGTCAGTATCATTATCCCTATTTTACATGTACTAGTTGCAGTGGTGCAGGAGTGATTTTGGCACTGATATATTCAAACCCCAGTTACTTATTCAGTAAGCCTTTGAACTGTGGAGGTATATGCTGCACAGTAATCGAATGTGGAGTGAGAGAACGCAATATAGGTCAGGACAGGAACCCTTTAAGGATTTCAGAAGATGAATTACTGAGGTGACCCAAGAGACATTTAGATATATATTGATTTTCAAATCCCAGTTGTTCAAATAACAAAGCAATTGCATAAAGAAGGATGGGGCTGTTAAAGAACAGTATTTTGTACAGAAAAATAGCATTGGCAGGAGTGTCATTTCTTAGCTGATTCTTAGACAATTAGGCTAACTTAAAAATTTGTAGACACGTTTCTTAAGATTCGAGCGAACACCTCTTATATATTTCAAAGACTGAAATGTAATTACATGAAAAAAATAGACCAGCCTGACTTTTTTTAAATGGAATTCCACTTTACAATCTTTTATTTATGTTACAAAAATCATACATTTGAACAACTATGTGTATCACTTTGCCTGACCAGTTCCTGAAAACAAAATTATCTGAGCAAATGCTTTTTATTAGACAAGTCGCGGACTATTAGACACTAATAAGAGATGTTAACTAATATACAGCTATAGATATAGGATGAGTGGCCACTAGACTTGGAGACACCTGAGAACTACTTTATTTATACATACTCAATTCTTAGTTCCCTATTCAAATCAAATCAGGAATTTGTACAGTGCGAGGTAGTGGAGGGGCATGGGATGGTCTTCTCATTGGTTACAGCAGATCTGGAAGGTGATGCTATGGCACTGTATGTGGCATAGGGAGGGGCCACTTTGGCAGCAGGAGGAGTAGAATTGGGATGGTGTATCAGCAACTTGTGGGGCACCTTTGTGTCTTGGATTATACATAATTTAAGGCCCTTCATTTTTGGTTTTTATTTTGTGTCCTGGGAATGTCAGTTTTTAAGAAAGAGGTGAAAAATCAGTAAAAACTGAAAATGAAGGGCCAGTGTTTGGGGTGCGTTAGGGATGTCTGCTACTCATGGGAGGTGGCATGAGGGAGCCTTCCATTGCCTACAAGCCTATTGCTGCAGTGGCCGGGTGATCTTGGCTACTGGGACTCATCTCCCTCCCCTCACTGCACTGGGGAAAGCTGAAACAGCTGTGCTGAAGGGCTGGGGTCAGGAGAGGCATCTGTCAGGCAGGGAAAGCAGATGGTGGCAATCACCTGCCTCTCTGCTCGTCTCATTCCCCCACAGCCATCCACTGGCAGTGACCCTCCTCTGCTCAGGCGTACGGTGCTGTCGGGCAGGGCCTTTGTGAGGCTGATGGAGGTCTGGGCTGGTTTGCCAATTTTGGTTGGGACGCATCCTTGGAGGTTTCAGCAAATGACGTAATCTTTAATTAAAGATTCATTTTTAATTCCTGGAGACTCCAGAGCAAATACTGGAGGATTGGCAACCCTAGGTCTGGGGTGTTCCTGCACTTGCCAAATTCAGGTTAAAATCTGATGACTTGGTTTTTCAAAAATCTGGTAATTGGGGGGGGGGGGGGGCAAGGAAATGGGCAGACATCCACACTTAAGGGTTGTGTAAGCGACCGCACTCGCGCAGCAGATCAAGGGGCCTAAATGGTGACAATTAGATGCTGGGCTCGGTATGTTCAGTTTCAGCCGTCGATGGGGCGCTGATAACCCATCTCCTTCTAAAATGGAGCTTGGTCCCTGGGGGAGGGCGGCTCTTGTGGCTGGGTTGCCGGCGACAGCCGGGACGCGATGACCCACACGCCCCGCCCCGCCCCGGTCGCTCTGAGCCAGTAACGCCTCCTCAGTGACCTGCCCCCAACCGCCCACCCGGCCCAACGCGGCCAGGGGAGGCGGAAGCCCCGCCCATGCTCCGCTCGGGGGCTCTCCCCCTCCCCATTCGCTGCCGACGCGGGCTCCGCCCCCTGCCGCTCTCGTCACTGTGTGTGTGGCAGTTGCCAGGCCCCGCGGCGGCGTCTGTGAGTGCGCGGCCCCGTACAGCCGCCGCCCCCCTCCCCTTAGCCGGGGCCGCTCCTTGCCACAGCGGCCCCGCCCCCGCCCGGCTGAGGTAAGGCCCCCCCCGCTCTTCCGCCCCCCTCCCCCCACCGCTGGCCTGCTCCCGCCCCCCCCCCCGGGTGACTAGATCCTTCCGCGCCCCTCACTGATCTGCCCCCGCTCCGCCCCCTGGGGGCCTCGGCCTCTCTTACCCGCCCCCTCCAGGCCTCGGGGACGCGCCGCCGCCTATCCTTAGGCTGTGAGGGCCGGGCAGGCCCGGGCCCGGCTGTGCGTTGGGGCTGGATCGGGTCCTAGCCCCCGGCCGCCCCGGGCCTTGGCCCACTCCGCCCGGCTGCCTGCAAGGGAAGCTGTGACAGGCGGGGGCGGGGGTCCGCCACTTCTGGGGCCTGGGTGGTTGGGTAGCTTGGTTGGGGCTGTTTCATTTTTGTGTCCGTTCAAAGTCAGGCTGGCGGCGGGGGGTGCAGCAGCAGCAGCAGCAGCGTTAAGAAAGTGTCATTGAAGTGCCAGTGACCCATCCCCTGCTTTTGCCTCGGGGCGTTTCTATGGGAGAGCAGGTAGGCTTTGAATCAGCGTTGAATAAAGGAGGGGCCAGTCCGCTCATCAAAGTAGAGGTTCCTCTAGAAACCTCCAGCGCTGTGCCCTGCATTCGCTGAAACATCTGTAATATGTGCAGATCAGTCATAGCTGGTTTTCGTGCTGTACAACTAAAGCTTACGGGGCTTTTTTTTTCCAGGGGATGTCAGCAGGGGCGGTGGAAACTTCCTAAAATTGGTGGGGCCACCAGTGCCTGAACTGCCCCTTCCCCTCTAAGGCCCCACTTCTGTGCTGCCCCTTCCCCCCTGTGGCCCCGGTCACCCTCACAGACAGTAAAAAGTGGGAGGGCCCTTGCACCCCACCCACCCCCCATGTTCTGGCGCCCCTGGATGTCAATTTAACACCACCCAAGCCTCACTAGAACGTGGGATTTGGGATCCATGTGCAGTACCATGTTAAAATGAATTGCAATTAAAGTAATTAAATTTGGGATCCATGGCCATGACTGCATTATATGCGAATTTGCGCTATATAGATGTGCGTTCTAGCGAGGGGCCGGTGTCAGGTGGTTCTCAACCCACTGGCCACTTGCAGCCCAATCAGCATGCAGCTGCAGACCATGTGACATCCTCAGGCTCATATAGGTAGTATATTTATTGTGTGGATGCGATAGCTGCATTTGTGGCCCACAATGGTAAATCGGTTGAGAACCACGGGTTTAACAAATGGCCTGACATATACAACGCCACAGGAATTCTGTATCTCAGTGTATTGTCTCTGAAAACAGCGAAAACAAATTAATGTGGGCAACTCTTCGATTTTCCATACAGTGTGATCATATAAAGTGAATAATTCTAATGTCAAACTACACCCATTTAATAGTTACGTGAATTGCTGAGAGATGCTTTCTCATCTCAACATCAGGAAAGTTCAAAATTGATTCAGAAGTAGGTTGTCAGTTGAGCTATACAGAGCTGAACATAAATTTCAATTAACTTATACCAGTGAATCGAAAAAAGAGGAGGTCTGTATGTTTGGGTTTTTTTTTTTACCAGCAACATTTGTCAACTGTCTACTTTCTGACAGCCATGTTCAAGTGAATACACTGATTGAATTGAGTGTGGATGGTTGGTAACCTTTATCCTTGAAGAAAATTTAAAATAAAGTATTTATATTACTGAGCTAGAAGCATAGATTAATGCACTGTCTGTGCATTGAATGGTGGTTAAGCATTTGAGTTGCCATCCATTTTAGTATTTATATATTATATCTTTGCTTTCATTTTCCATCATAAATGTCTCTTTGTATTTAACTTTTTCACTTTGGAGGTGGGGAGCAGACATAATGCCAAGATTTAATCAATATTAAAAGCAATCTTTTTTTACTCTTACTGGAACACTGAAACATATGTATTGGTAGTGCTGGAGGTAGAATGCTTGACTAGATGGACGAGTGGTCTGTCCTGGTATTACTGTTCCTTAGCTTGCTGATAGGTTAGTGTTTGAAAAATAAGCCTCTTGACTTCTTTAGGAGTAAGTCAAGATAGCTGAACTGTGTAACTTCTGTAGCTTTGAATTAGTCTTACATGGACTTGGAATTCATTTATCAGTGCATTGGAATTAAATGTTGTCGTCTCCTTAACTTGGTGATGTATTCTAACTAGATTAAATCTCATGGAAGTTCTTGTTCCAACTTTCTGAAGTCCATTCTCTATCATTATCTAGGGCCATAAGCTAATTTGGAAACTAATAACTTTTTAGACTTGACTTTCCCAGGTGAATTCTAGTGGTCTGCCTGGAAGTTTGATGTGTGATTTAACAACTTTATTTGTTGAAACGTTCTATATAATCAGATTTGGTTTCTAGTGAGTGAGAGAACCTAGACCAGTGGTTCCCAAACTTTAACAACCTGTGAACCCCTTTCACTAAAATGTCAAGTTTCGCGAACCCCCTCCTAAAAATTAATATTTCCGTGGATTTTCTCCTTTACCTGAGTATAAATTATAAAAGCAGTGATCTTGGAACTATAAAATTTGTTTTTATGACATGTTTATTACACACTATTTATTATGAATTATTATTTAGCATTACAGTATTTTTATTACATTATGAAAACGGCAACACTCTTCCAAGATCTCACTTTTGTAGCTTGTACACTTTGAATAAGCCTGTTATAAGACAAGGCTCCTATGTTTCATCAAGGAGTATCAAATGTGAAACAGCATGAAGGTATTTAAGAAGCCAACTCAAAGAGTTCCTCCTACACAAGCATTCAGCTCTTGATCAGTCCAGGCAAACAACGCACGTTACAACAAAGCTTAAACTTGTTCTTCATGATAATTTTAAAAACAATACTAGATGCCTATTTAATTTTAAAAACAGCAAAATATATCCACCTCCCTTTCCATTTCTTATAAGGAGTCTTGAAGTTTAAATCTCCACAGTGTGATAGATATGCTTGCTTTGATCTGCTTAGCTCTTGGAAGTCCAGGGGCCCCGGGCTGCTGGCCCCGGGCTCTGTCCGCCATTAGGGAATTTTTTCCTGAGAACCCCCTGTCACGGGGGTTCACGAATCCCAGTTTGGGAACCACTGACCTAGACATGACTTTTACTGTGGCAGTATGTTAAATTCACAATTAGGAATAAGAACAATTAAAATTATTTTTGAAAATTGAATTAAATATGTAAGAGATACTCTAGCAGGTTTTAAAAATCATCTGAGCAATAAATTTGTTGTAAAACTGCATAATCAAACATCATGCTTCTGTGCATCAGCTGATCACTGCAAGGTCAGGAAGGATTTTTCCCTATGGCAGCATTGCAAAAATAGCCAGGTACATTATTATTTGGGATGTGGTGATGGTGGTAATATCTTACTCTAAAGATCAGGCATAATCCTCTGCCAGGCACAGTGTACTCAATTTGTACCATAAGTCTTATCCGGCATGGCAAATAGTCTGTTGTAAAGCTAAAGTTGCCAGAAAATAAAAGGGGCTATCTTACAACTATGTTATTGTTAGGGTTCTCTTTCATAGCTATAAAATATGACTTTAAGTGTGAAAATGCTTGCAAAAGCATATCGCATTTTAAAATGACTCAGAATTTCTAAAATCAAATATTTCTTTAAAGGTTCTAAAGAATCCACAGGTATTCTTTGGTTTCCTGGAAAATGCATCTGACAGAGCCTGAGAGATTCCTTATGCCCCTAAAATGTAATTCCTAGTGAATGTAAAAGTTGCTGTATTGAAGACTCCCTTAATCCTACTCAGGAAAATACAATAAAAGCCTCTTATGCCCACACAGTGTTTGGATGATAGCCTGGGGCTTCTAAATTTGAAGTAGTTCATGAGTACAGTCTCATGAATATCTGAAAGTAGGAATACAACTAACTTGGCTCACTAGGGGAAAAATACTGGTGGCTTATCTACATTCTGAGGAATATAGCCTGTCAGGTCAGCATGTGGTAGGGTATGATCCAGTGGGGATCGATTTATCATGTCTAGACTAGACATGATAAATTGACCCCTGAGTGTTCTCCCGTCGACTCCTATACTCCAGCTCCACGAGAGGCACAGGCGGAGTCGACGGGTGAGCGGCAGCAGTCGACTCACCACGGTAAAGATACCACAGTAAGTCGATCTAAGTATGTCGACTTCAGCTACGTTATTCACGTAGCTGAAGTTGTGTAACTTAGATCGCTTCCCTCCCCCCACCCCTAGTTTAGACCAGGGCGTAGTGATAGCAAAGAAAAATAGCTTTAGTTATAGAGAGGAAAGCTACTACTACTTTAATTTTTGCTAATTCATTGTGTGCACGTCAAGATTTTACTAATTAATATTTAACATTTAAAGCCTTAATGGACCATTTTCCTTAAAAGGACCAACTGTTTCGACTGTGATTGGATGGATTGAAACTGATCATAGTCAGTCAAAAAGGAAGGTTTGGGAAAGAACAGGAGAGAGAGGTACTGCAGGAAACACAGGATTCTGGAATTCCTTCTTATTCACTAGAATGAAGTCTGTGACATTTTTCTGCATAGACTGATTTGTTCGGTGCTTGTTATGAGCTTCATGAGTAGTTATTGCCTTATATTGTCTGTATATTTTGAGAACCATAGGCTTATAAGGGGGAGCTAGCCAGGTAACCACCTCAAGCCTTCAATGGTTCTTGGCCCATGCTGCTTATAAAAATATTTATAAAATAGATATTGACCCGTGCTCAGTATCTATTTTATAAATTTTATTTAAAGTCAAACTAAAATAAAATTGAGCAAACATATCACCAAACCTAAAAAAATAAAACACTATCAGATTAGAATCAAATCATGATAAAATCAAGCATGTTAGTCTCAGTATTAGATTGGGATCAAATAAATACCAAGAATAACCAGTCCTTGTAAATTCTCAGGAGTTGATGAAGGTGGCTGTCTTCTTGGTAATAAGCCCCAGCTAAAGAATTTTATCAAAGTCCATCAGATCTATACTTTGAAAAGAGTTAAATATTGTAATAGTGAAAATAAATTGTCTGAACCTCAATGCCAATGATAAAGCTGCCTTCTTAGACTTAAGTTTTATTGTGGTGGCTAATCTTTCCTTCCCCCCATCCTAACAGAAATATTATAATACAGACTTCAACAGAACATTCCCGATAAACAGAAGTTTAACAACTCTTATTTACCAGAAATTACATATGACAGTTTAGTCTCTGAGGACTTGTAAACATGGAACATGCTTTAATGCATATCTGTGTGATGGCATTGAGGTCTGTTTAACCTGGGGAACTTCTTTCCCCATATGGACTTTATGGGTGCACTCTCACAGATGCATACGCACAGCCATGCTCACGCCTCAAAAATAGAAAGGCTGGGATGACTCCCAGTGAATAAAAAACAAGCTGACAATAGGAAAAAAAATAATTAAGATAACGGGTTTGTGAGCTCTTTACCTCCCACATTCTTCTAGATTCTTGTAGAATAGGAGCTGGAACTGCAGACGAGGAGCCAGACAGTGATCTCCTGGCACAGAGCTTATCACTCGTGGGCTTCCTTTGGATGCAGGGAAGGTTAGTCAAAGGCTGGTATAGGCTGTTCGTTGATGTTGTGACTTTCTCTCCCCAAGATGTTCAGCCTTGTTGATTCTGGAATATCAATCTTCCCTTAGATGCCTTATTAATTTGAAAGTCAAGGTTTCTCAGTCTTACCACTGATGCTTATGGTTTACAAATTTTGCTTGCTTCACCGTGCAACTCTTTCCTCCAAGGTCTTCAGACCAATCAAGTGTGAAGTTTACCATGGAGACATTCAACTGTTTAGTTCAGCTTAAAATAGGTCATCATTCGTTTATCAAGTTGGAAAATCCTACTTAAAGCAGCAATTTTAAAAAATACTGTGGTCCACATCAGAGACAATGCATCTGCAATCACCCCCAAAATGTCAAAAACCTAGACGCATAAGATCACATTCTGGAAGCTGATGTGGTCTTAAGACATTAAGTTACAAGTTTACAAAAGTATTCAACATGAAACCCTATGAAAATAATGAATAGGAAAAACCCTAGCACGGCAAAATCAGGTTCTCAGCATTCAGTCATCAGCAAAATAAAATAAATTGAGTCTTAAGACAAATTTCTTTGCTCCAGTTTCTTCTTTGCTAACCCACTTGACCCTGATGATCCCTTGGAATGTATTAACTACTTATGCTAAACAATCTGTTGCACCTTGAATTTAGTTGTTACACTCTGAGTACATTTTCCAGACCTGAAGAAGAGCTCTGTGAACACTCAAAAGCTTCTCTCTCACCAACAAAAGTTCATCCTATACAAGATATTACCTCACCTACCTTGATTCTCCAATATCCTGGACCAGCACAGCTACAAAAACCACTGTATATGATCTAAAAACAAATTATCTTTTTCTTCTGACAATCAAGGCAATTAAAATAACTTTTCTATTTTGGAACTGGGCTATAGGTCAGACAGCTTATCTTCTGAAAGCTACATGTTGATAAAGAAAAATTTCTTTAAATCTCATCAAGATGAAATCCATTTGAAAGATAAAATTTCAAATATTTTATAAGGTCTGTATACCCTTACAAGGTATTCTCATAGTGGGGTGTACTTAAACTTTGTGTGTTGGATAAGGAATGTTCTTAAATCATAGGATGTTACAGATAAAAAAGACATGTCATATTTCCTGCCAAAGCAGGATTATTCCATATGGAACTCTTGGAACACTTAACAGTGAACCAAAATAAGTTACAAGTGATAGGACTTTCACCATTGTTCTTAGACTCTTCTGAAGTCTACTACATCTCATACTGTGCTCTATTCCTGGAAAAGTCTCCCTGTTATCATCTGCCAAGCACCTTCTTTTTTTAAAAACCCTCCTTAAATTTTTCATATATGTAATCAATAATCCCCACGCTTTCCCCTTTATTGAACGGTTGTAAAAGATTGAGGAGAGGTAGTGTCTAACACTGTAAAACACATGTAATGTCCTGCAGTGCTGTATTCTGGGATTCTTAAACTGTGGGTCGGGATCCCATTTTAATGGGGTCGCCAAGGCTGGTGTTGGCCCTGGGCCCAAGCAAGTTTGAAGCCCAAGCCCTGCCGCCCAGGGGTAAGATTACATGCCCCCCATCCAGGGCAGAAGCCTTTGAGCTTCAGGTTTGGCCCTGCACCCAGGGTGGCGGGGCTTGGGCAGGCTTGGGCTTCGGTCCCCCCTCCTGGGGTTGTGTAGTAATTTTTGTTGTCAGAAGAGGGTCATGGTGCAAGGAAGTTTAAGAACCACTGCTGTATTCCATTAACCTGTTCTTTCTGCTCCTGTTTTTGGATTCATTTGGGTAAGGTAGGTGTGGGTATTTGTGTAAGTAGCATGCACAGGCCCATGGGCATCAGCACCTAAAAGATTTTCACTGATAAACAGCTAACTGAGGAATAAAGGAAGATAAAGGCATGGGTGAGGCTGGGGAATGTCCCTCACCATGCCTTTTCATTGGTCAGAAGCGCCATGGCAATGGAGACTGTGGAAGTTGCTACAGTAGTGTTCTTGGAATGGTGTAAAACCTCAGATTTGTCCCTTAAAGTAGTCAGCATGAAGGGAAACTCTAGTAATCTGTTGGAGGGCATCTGACAGAAGGGATGTCACAACAGGAGAGGAAATGTGCAGAAAAATCTGGGCAATCCAACTTTGTCTGTACTGAGTGACTACATAAAATACAGAAAATCTTTCCTTTTTGTTCAGAGGGAAAAAAATCTCATTAGACTGAAGTGTTTGTCAGGAGTGGCATCTACTGTATAAAAACCTCTAGTACTAGATTCATCTTCTGAACCTTGATGGTGATTCTTACACCTCTGTCTTCCACCACTAGCCCATCCCAGTGGATTCTGATTCAAAACTATTGTTGTATTTAACTGTATGTAAATTATTTGCATGTTTCTAATCATGGTTTGATGATAGAGTATTGTCTGATCAAGTACAAAAATCTGATTGGAATTAACATTTTGTCCAGTTCTTACTCCTTTAAAAATATTGACTAAGTGCATGCTGCTCATATGTTGGTTGTTTTGAGGTCTTCCTTGACTTGTATATGGTAGCCTAAAATGTTTTTCAAGTATTGATTAGGTACTGGCCTAGGTGGACAGGGCAAAATATATTAAAATAGTGGTTATTGTAATCATGGTTCTCAACACTTTTGTAAGTTTTGCCTCCCTCTGCTAGCAAAACTGTAATGTGAGACAAAGGCCAATCTTAAACTACTTCAGGGTTGCGGTAATTTTGGTACTGTGGACAGAGGTCTAGGAAGAAACAAGGAAGAGCCTAGAGAAGAATGTAGTTTTAACCAATGCATTTAAGACTACTTTGGAAACGGCATACTGATGAACTCAAAGTTAACATACATGTTGGAAAGTATAATCCTGTAGAGTTTTATTTTGCTAAAAACATCAGGGAGGTGTTAGAATGCCTGCAACAGAGCTGTTTTTGTTGTTTGGTTTTTTTTAATCAATGGCTGGACAAAAGATCAAGTGGTGATTATCTCCATTTTCTGTAATTGTTACCTGTTTACTTCTTTGTGCTGTTAAGAGTTTGCATGGCTTGAGCTTTCATTCCCTCTTCTGTTTAGGCTGTTATCAGTAATTGTCTTCATTTTATATACTTCTAGTGGTTTTTCTATTGCTCTTTCATGGAGCTTTCCAGGTGGATCAGTATGAGTGCTGTGTAGTATCTGTTCCTACTTGAATAGTTATATTCTCCATATGTAGGCTAAAACCTGAATTTGCAGAGTAGGCTATATTATTTGGTCATCCCTATCACTAGATTCTCTGTTTTGATGGTCAGGCTATAATACCAACCAACTGAAATTGAATCTAAGTTTAGGAAGCCTGTTTCTTAAAATTGTTTTGCAAGCAAATCAAGTATTTGGAGGAAGTAACAGTTATTGGGGAAGAGAAAACAATACTTAGCACATAACTAGTGCTGTGTCAAAACCTTCCATAAAGATTAAGACTAGCCTAGGAAAGTGGTATGTATTGAGTGGGGAAGGGGTGAGAGTCTTGAAGAGGATATTTGTGATTTAGATGTCGTTTGGGGTGGGCAGAAGTGACTATTGTAATGGTACTAGTAGCTACCATTCACTATAAGCTGATTTCTCTAAAAATGAGTTCTTCACTCATCCTAAAAATATTGTCAACATAGAATGGCTTATTGATAGATAATAGTGAATAGAACTGTAGAGGAATTTGTACAGTGGGATTCAGCAAAGCTTGGTGACAGGCTCAGTCCCAACAACTTCATTAAAATTTGGAAGGGGGTAAAAAGCACAAAATTAATATTACAGGTGTTACTACAGATACTACTTTTGGAGGTGCTCTCCATACCAGTGAAGATAAACGACACAGAACAAATTAGAGGTGAGAAATGTGGGCATGAAACAACCAAAATGAAATTCAAATTAAAGCAACAAACTAATAGTATAGCAGATAATAGGCTGGAGTACAGATTCACTGGCAAGCTGAAAAGTAGTAATGCTTAGAGACCTCGATGTGATAATAGACAATAATTTAGAGTAGAATCCCAATTTTATTAACATAGATCATTTGAATGAACAGTTATAAACTATTTTTCTGCTGAATATGCCTTCGGTCCTTCAGCCAACGTTGAAGCAGCTGTACAGGTTTGAAAAGACAGATTTGGTGGCAAAGAAGAGAGGTAGTTCTCTCAAAGAAAGAAATCAGGCACGCTATAAATTTGTTACTGTTCTTTATATACACTATCATTGAATGATTAAGAAGTTAAATTGTTCACTGTATATACTGTAATTATGAGATTTTCAATTTTGATCTTATGAACACATTCATAACTTTGATGCAACTTTTTGATCTTATGGAAACAATCCCCAGTTAGCCCATAAAATGGGGTCCTAGTGGAATTATTTAATGCCGTATAACAGTAAAACTGGCCAGTGTGACTTTAGGTAGTATTGTTACAAGCATGTCATGGGGAAGGGAAGTAGTAGTCCTTTTTTATATGATTAGTGAGACTGCATTTTTACTTTGCTATGACTGTACATCATTTTACAGTGTTCCCCACTGCACCCATCCCAAAATTCCTGTCCTGAAGCACTTAGTCTAAAGGCATAAGCAGGTAAATATAGACATTGTAATAACAAGATGTAATAACTCATAATATTATCATTTTTAGGCACTTCAGTTCCACAATGACTACTCAGAAATTATTTGAGAAGAGGATCAGAAATGATTAGGGTTTGATTTCTGAGGAATACCTAAGAGCTGTGTATTGCAGTAGTGTAGCTGAAGGTTAACAATATCAAGGATGGAGAAATCAAGTAATGGGATGACATCAGAAAAAAAATCAGAAGCAAAATCAAGAAGATTTTGTTGATGGTGAGACCTACATTGTTAGTCCATGAAACATTCAAGGGAAATGGTGAAACTCACATTATTTTGGACACCTGAACATAAACTAAACAAAACACTGTAGAATTACCTGCAAGAAATGTCTGCACAGCAGGAGACACGCAAGACACAACCAAGTCTTTTCCAGCTCTTAATTTCTTAGATGATGCATATCCTGTTGTAAGATGATCCAGTTGGACAAAGTATTAGTAAGTAGAATTGAGGGACAAAATATTAAAGTAGAGGTGATGGGGAAGAATGAAAACAACTTCTGCAAAAAAAAATCTATAGATATGTTTAAAATATTGTTTGGCATGGAACAATTTCCTCAACTTTTGAAAAAATGAGAAAGGTGAAGTTATTATTAAAGCTAAGATTTTTGTCATAGGTATTTTTAGTAAAAGTCATGGACAAGACGTGGGCAATAAACAATAAATCATGGAAACTTGAGCCTTGCAGCATGGGGCAGGAGCTGAAGCCTCACCACGCGGGGCTGAAGTTGTGGAGATCATGTAAAATCATGGAATCTGTGACTGACTCATAGCCTTCGTTATAATGTTTAACTTTTCCTTTTACCACTCTGTCTTTTTGAAAGTTGGGGAAATTTTAAAAAGTTGAATGGGGAGGGGAGATTTTTAGTCTGTTAAATTCAGTGGCAAAAAAAAAGCAGAGGGAGCAAAAACAATGATATTAATTTTGAAAGTGTTTTTAAAAATAAACACAATGAAAACTTCAATTTGAAACAAAATGCAAACTTATTTAGTTATGAATAGGGCCATGAAATATCTGTTATGGACCATGAAATAAACCCCTCCCCATGAAATCTAATCTCCCCCTTGCTCCTGCTTCTAGCTGCAAGTCCCCATTGGGCTGGGGAGGGACAGGACTTGTCCTTCTCCGGCATGGCCACTCCCGGTCTCCGGTCTGTGTGTGGGGAAATGGCCCACCTGGGAGTGCCTTCTCCTGCTGTAGGAAGCTCCCTGCCCAGCACCGGAGGTTTCTGCAGCTGGAGGAGACTTGTGGAATTGGGTCTGATCTCCCCCTGCTCCTGGAAGCTCCCCAGCCAGGGGACTCCTAGCTGTGAGTCCATGCTGGGCTGGGGAGAGACAGGACTTGTCCTTCCCTTGCATGGCAGCTCGGGGCAGGGGGTGGGGGAGGGAAGGGAGGAGAGCTCAGACCCACTTCCGGCTACCTTTTGGTTTGGGCCCCCATGGTTACAACACTGTGAAATTTGAGATGTAAACATCTGAAAATGTGAAATTGACCAATTAAAAAACCCTTTGGCTGTTAAATTGATCAAAATGGACTGTGAATTTGGTAGGGCCCTAGTTATGAAATTTCCCATTGAGAAATCAATGTTGTTAATTACTTACCAGTTCAGAGGTTCACCTGGATTTGTTCTGCCTCAGTCAGATAGAAGACCCTTCATTTAAAGTCGCGAGGTTCTTTTGTCTTTTGGGTCATGTTCTATGTGGGTAGTATTTTTTACCCTCAGGGGAGAAGCTCCATCTTCTCCTTGTCTTTAATACAAAACAAAATCATCTATCTAGCACACCATCATTTCCTATTAAATGAGCTGATAGTCTGTTTCTTGGCTGCAAGAGTAGATGGTCCAGCTGCCCCAAATGTGCATTCCTCCGCAGCTCAACACTTCCACCCTCCCAAGTATTACCCAGCCTTCCCAAACAGGTAAGTGGCTTTGGGAGAAAGAGAAGATAGCAACATCTATATAACAGATGACATTTTGTATAAATGATCCAGCAAGTTCTATGTCTAGTTACAGTGCATCCTGTATAATTTCACGTATATGACTACTACGATCTAAGGATTCTGGTGTCCACATTTTGTATACTCAGTGAATTTTGGGTAGCTTTCTGCCAGTTTATCAAAGTGCATATACTTTTTTTTTTTTTTACTGTTGTTATTTTCCTCAATAAAGATAATAGCTGATTGTTTAAGACTTCAGTGTAGTATGTAATTCTCTTTACATTAACTAGGTCAGTGACTCTCAACCTTTCCAGACTAGTGTACCCCTTTCAGGAGTGTGATTTGTCTCACATACCTCAAGTTTCACTTCACTTAAAAACTACTTGTTTACAAAATCGGACATAAAAATGTGTGTGTCATCACCCTATTTTTGAAAAATTGCTTGCTTTCTCATTTTTATCATATAATTTATAAAATAAGTCAATTGGAATATAAATATGGTACTTACATTTCAGGGTATAGTGTATATAGAGCAGGATAAACAAGTCATTTTATGAAATTTTAGTTTGTACTAACTTCGCTAGTGCTTTTTATGTAGACTTTTGTACAACTAGGCAAATATCTAGATGAGTTGATGTGCCCCCTGGAAGATCTCTGCGTGCCCCCCAGAGGTACATGTACCCCTGGTTGAGAACCACTGAACTAGGTCATCTTTTGTTATGCAGATGTGAATGATGTTTTACATTTGAAAACCATAGTGCTTCCTGTTATTTATTATATTCTTTTTTAAGTTCAGGAGGCCAAAGTACTAGCTGACTATCATCAGTGGATGGTACGTTCAAGTTATTCACCTTTTCATTTTTAGCACCAAAACCAACTGTAAATCTGTCTAAATATAGCCTACTAACTCATTTCAATTTTTGTATCTACTTTGTTTTTATATTGGCTGTCACATATGATGTGGTCCCAGTGTTTAATAAGAAACTTGCCCATGCACTTTCCCCCTTTTTCTGCCATAAAACTTAGCTAGGGATTTTCCTAAAATACTTAATTAACTTTAGAAAAAACAAATTAATATGCACATATACATATCCAAATCATTGTAATTTATTTATGTAGGTTTTTTGGAGACTCAGTAATAAACACATGAAAAATGATATTTGTATGTTTGTTAATATCACTTCTTATAGCACACTTAGTAGCTAGCTGGGAGGCTGTGAAAAGTGATATGTGTATGTTTGTTAATATCAGTTTCCTCAGAAAGCCCCAGGACAAATTAAGCCCTGGATGTGGGGTCAGGAGACGATGAGGGGATGGATGTGGGATGATGGAGGAGGTAGCGGGGCTTGATGGAGGAGGTAGCGGGGCTTGGGGTGATCGGCAGGGGGGTGAGCCCTGACATTGTGCGTCCGGGAGCCAGAGCATGTGGCTAGAGCTGGGGGCTGGCGTCTGCCACCGCACAGCTGGAGTTGGAGGGCTGGGCCGGTGCCCGCCACTGCATGGCTGGAGCTGGGGGCCTGCACCCAGAGGGCTAGAGCTCACTGCTGCGTGGCCAGGGTCCGGAGCTAGGGGACAGAGTCCAGGGCCGCATTGCCAGAGTGGGGGGTCAGTGCCTGCTGCCACGTGGCTGGAGCTGGCATTTGCTGCTGCATCTCAAAGGTCGGCACCTGGGGTCAGCTCCTGCCACCAGGGGTTGGCACCCGCTGCCACGGGGCTGGGGCAGTATGGCTGGAGCCAAGGGTCAGCACCTGCCACTGCGTGGCCAGGGGTCAGCACCTTGGAGCCTGGGACTGGAGCTGGGGACCAGTGTCTGCTGCTGCATGGCCAAAACTGGGGGCCGGAGTCCAAAGCCCCACAGCTGGAGGCTGGGGCCACATGGTTGGACACAGGAACCGGAGTCAGGGGTCGGTGCCCAAAGCCCCAAGGCCAATATCTTGAAGTCCAGCCGCTGGAGCTCGCCGCCCAACCACCCTAGGGCTGAAGCCTGAGCCCTGTCATGCCCCCACCGACCCCAGTGGGTTGAGAACTCACCTTGCTCCTGCAGCGTTGTGCCTCGCCTGTCTCCAGAGGCTATGCAGGGAGGCACAGCCAGGAGCAACAGGGAGGAAGGGAGAGGGGCCAATGCTTTGCCCCGCTCCCTTCATCACCACTCAGGAGACTGTTGTGGCTGCACAAAAAGCCACTGGTGGCCACATTTGAGAAACACTAGAATCTGTGTCCTTAGAGAAGGGTTGAAGGATTGTAAGAGTCTTTTCTTTTTTTTTCCTCCCCCCCCCCCAATTTAAACAAAAGTGTTCTCTTAACTAAAGAGAATATCTTGGCAATCAAACTTATATTACAATAAGTTTGATTTGCAAATGTGGGGTGGAGGGTGAGAGAGAGAGAGAGACAATGAGACAGTCTATTGCTACTATACCACAACATTAAACTTTTCTTGTTTGAAAAGAGGAAGGGGTTGGTTTTGAAAATCTTGTAGGCAGGTGTGATATTTTCCTCATTCCATATTTTTTAAGGTACTGGACATCTAGTGCAATTTTGGGCATTGAAAAGACAAAATTGGTCCTCTAGAATTTTTTGAGCCTCAATAGACAAACATCTCTGACAGAGAAGAAACACTGTAATGAGAGCTCACCCTTCTCTCCAAATAGAGTCATAGAAGTTACTGTAATTCTTCCTTCATTTTGGTTAGTGGAACTTTAACAAAGAGTCCCTGAGAGCCTTCTCAAGCACATTGTTCCTCCTGCTAATTCTGTCCCAGATACTGTTTTCTGGTAGTACTCTGCAGCTCTGACATGGAGTACAGTAGAAAAACTCTCACATGCATAGTTGTATGAGTGCTGGATATCTTACTGTATATATACACCCTTTCTGTGCAGTGTTGTTACTTTTGTATTTTTAGCATAAATCTAAATGCTTAAATACCACTTCCTTTCTCTCCTAGAATAGTTACTTAATTTTACTTTCACTTGACTGAACTGCTGATATGTCCTTTGACCTCTTCTTGTTCTAAAAATAGTAATAGTTTTATTATTTGATGAAAAACGCTTGAACATATTTTCCTGGCTGTTTTTAATTTACTTTAATATTGTGTCCTTTACTTTGTGTAAGAGACAGAATGGTAGAAGATTAGAGTCTTAGTATTATAAGAAGTTGTACTATAGGTCCCAACTTGAGACATCATGCATGTACAGTGAATAGGACAAAAAACTGGGGGGAGAGGTGTATTGGTAGGGGAACAAGTATATAAAAATATGACCTGGGTTTTTTTCTAAGCATGGTTTATCTATTAATTGGCTTTTGTTTTTGTGATTCTTTTCTTCAGTACTAGTTGTTGGTGGATTTTACCAGATGTCATTTTTTTGAGCATAAGCAAAAGTTAATTTGTAGTCACTAGGCAGCAGTTGATGAGAACATTTTTCTTTATTTTAAGTGGGTTTTAGGAGGGTTTATGAAGTTCCAAGTTAGAGTTCGTATAACAGACCATTTAACAACTATGTATCTGACACTGAAAAAATATTGCAACCCTGACTCAACTAACTTAATTAGTTCCATTATTTCTCATTTGACTGGGATTCTTGAATACAACATTTGAGGATCTCAAGAGTATTTGATTTCCTCTTGGGAATTTTCACTTGCACTAGTTTTATTTCTTCTTGGGTGGCTTTTAAGAAATGGTTTGTCATTGGGCTTTCAAAAGTTATGGATTCTGTTACTTCCTATTTTTTATATATATGTTGTATTCAAGAATCCCAGTCAAATGAAAAATAATGGAACTAATTAAGTTAGTTGAGTCGGGGTTGCAATATTTTTTCAGTGTCAGATACATATATATATATTTTAACCCTGTTGACTTCTACAGTTTAACTTTCTTGGGGTTGAAGTGTTGCAGTTTTCTTGGAATTGGGGGAGGGGAGGGGGTGAGTTTCACTACTTCACCCTGTGTGTGACTTAATAGAGAACAACCTGTACAAAAAAAACCCAGTCTTTGATTTGTAAAAGAATATACTGAGTACAGTATACTCCCGTTTATCCAAAACCTATTATCCAAACCTCCATATTGTTCAAATCCCTTAGTTGTCCACCAGCAGGAGATACATGCCCTCTGCAGAGGAGACAAGGAAGGGGTTTGGATAACAGAGCAGAGATTTACACCCACACCCAAGGCTAGGAGAAGCCCCTGGCCGCAGGGGAGGCTACCCTGTTGTTGACTGGCTCCTGTAGCAGAACGGGGACCACAGGGAGCCCTCTGTGGCTGGGCTGTCACAGGAGTGAGCAGGGCCATGATAGTGGAATTGCTGAGGGCTCCCTGTGTTGCCAAAGGGCTGGTGACACCTGATTCCTGCAGGCACAAGGTTGTGAGGGTGGTGTCACTGGCACTGCAACAGCACAGGGAGTCCTCTATAGCCTTATGTCACAGGAACGGGGCAGAGCAGAGACCCCTGGGCAGGACTGTGAGGAGGAGGAGAAGCCCCCAGCAACAGGGGAGGCAACCCTGCTGCTGAATGGCTCCTGCCCTCTCGATTATCTGAGCTGCCCGATTATTTGAATAAAATCGGTCTCCCCCATGCTATTCAGATAATTGGGAACATACTTTACTTCCTAAGTCGGCTACAACTGTTTTGTATCAGAAGATGCATAATCTTCAGTTGCAGAAATTGTTTTGGAATAAATATAACACATTTTTTATTAATACTGTTGGAGAAAACTAATCTGTTTTTTATATCTGTTGAAACATATGACCACCTTAGTCAGCTGTCTTTGAGGACATTTCCGGAAAAAAGTGCAACGGCAAGTGGTAGAAAAAAAACCCTGCAGCTGCTTGGTATATGAATAAATGTATCAGTTTGAGACACCCGAGAGCACTTAATATACAAATGCAGCGTAGTGAACAGACTTAGGCATCTGTTGACCTTTATATGTTACCATTAAGTTCTATGTATTATAGCTTCACAGAGATACACACTGGTAATGTAACATGGTGTAAACTATGGGGCAAGATTTAAGATATCGGTTCAATAGAACAGGATACCCAGTAGTAGTGATGTCAATAGTTGTAATGACCCTTTGACTTGTTCTTGTTTCTTTCCCAGCCAAGTCAGTCATACCCTGACCAGTGATAAGTGTGGATGGCAGACACCCTACGTTTAAGAAGTTGTACCAAATAGACCTCTGTTCTCTTACAACTTGTCTAAACACAGAAGTCACACTGGTTTAACTAAAGATGTAATGTTGCTTCAGTTTAGTTAAACCAGTGGATCTTTGTGTACATTTAGACCGGTTTAGCTAAATCAATCTAACATTACATCTTTGGTTATATCAGTACAACTCTCTGTGTGGACCAGACCTCACTTTGCAGACAGCAAGTCCCTCATTCCCTTTCTTCAAATTATCTGAAGCTTGACCTGGTCCTGAGTACTTTGACTTACTGCATAAAAGTTTTAGATACAGTATGCTGGTGTTTGAAAGTCAAGTAATCATTCCATGAAGCAGTGATGAAAGTGATGGAAAGAGTAGGCCCGGCTAGAGAATCTACTTTTACTAATCATTTATAGAGTTCTTTCTAAATTTGAAGTACCATGCAAGCATTAACTAATCAGTCTGCACAACATCCATGTGAGGTATTAACCACAGTTTTGCAGTTGGAGACAGCAAGACAAGCTGAAGTAACTTGTGCAATACCACCCAATCAATCAGTAGCAAACCTGAGATTAGAGTTTGAAAATTTACAACTCTAGACTATGTTTCCTGAGATAAGGCTCACATTGCTATATATTTAAATATTAATATCCTGTCTCAAAAAGGGATTTATAAGTGAACTTAGAAAATGTGCTAAAAGCATTTTTCAGCACACAGTTGCCAAAGAAACTCAACTGTTGGATTACAGAAAACAGTTCAGGTCTGATTAGATTAAGTTTGCTTAGTAGCAGTCAGTTTGCTATGATTAACATTTTGGATTTGTTCTTTCTAAAGACCTCTCCTCCTATATGGATCAACCTGCTAGTGATGGTGAAGCTGGGAAAAGGCTACTCTAACCACAGCCAGGATGAATCGGCTGCCAGATGATGCAGAAAATGCTCAGAGCAGCAGTCGGGGCTCCTGTCCTTCCTTGCAGGATGTCCATTCCATCAACCCAGCGCAGCTGATGGCAAGGATTGAATCATATGAAGGAAGAGAGAAGAAAGGCATATCAGATGTCAGAAGGACTTTCTGTTTGTTTGTTACTTTTGACCTTTTATTCGTAACCTTGCTGTGGATAATAGAGCTAAATGTGAGTCTTGTTTTTCAAACTTTTTTTAGATTTGTTGTTTTCCATCAGGGGTTGGTGGGCTCAGAAATGGCTAATTGCCACCATTCCCTCCAACTCAAAGTGTGTACTGTCACCCGGGTTTGACATGTTACATTATAACAAATGTCTTGCCATCTAACATCAGTGAAAACAGATACCCATTTAGCTCAGCAGTGGCAACTCTGTTTTTAATTGCTGGGGTTTACACTTCATTATTATCCATTTGTATTGTGAGATCTTTTCTGACAACACTTCAATCTTAATCGTAATTATTAACTATGTCAAACTAGAACAAGGAAAGTGCAGTGTACTTAACAAAGAATCAAAAAGATTCAAGCTTCCATGAATTTGGATATTAAGTATGAATTTCAGTCTAACAAGGGTTTAGGCTTGTTACCACGTGACACATTGAAAACAATATTTTCCTGCATTGCTCATCACTTGTGAGAGATATTCCCCTCAGGGGTGCTCTCGGCCAAAGTTTGTTTTGGTTTTTCAAATAAAATATTTGCCTTGTGCCAAGTTTACTCTATGATTGATTTTTAAAATATATTAGTTTTGCTGTTGCTGAGGTCTTCTCCCTTAACTACTTTGATTAATAATCTGGAATGTATCCCCAGAAATATCAAAGTGGCTGTTTGTTGTGGGTAAGCACTGAGATTACTCAATTCAAACAGCTGTTCCTAGGTCCTGGATTTGAAATCATACCAAAAGGTATGTAATAATGTAAAGTCCCATATTTTTAGTATTTACAAGTGAAACATTTTATTGTGAAATTTGGATATGAGGTGTCTCTATCTAGACCTTTAACCACATTTTTGAGGAGTTTGACCCAAGAGCAAGCTGAAACAAAAGATTTAATTTCTTAGAGATATACAATTTTGATTTTAAAATATGTCAATAAGAAAACAACTCACATGAAAAGATAGATCTAGATGAGTGGCTCTTTGTGGGAAAGAGGATATACAATCTTCAATTTGTATAGCTTATGAATCTTTTTTTAATAAATTACTGTATAGATTTACCCAGTTAAGATCATCATATTTTTGCAACTAAGGAGGTGCTCTGCTGGATGTGTTTTAGGGAAAGGAGAACATACTTGCATATGTGATGGTTGTGTCCCAAATTAGATGGTTTTGGGAGAAAATTATTAAAGAGATTAATCTTATGACAAAATGCTGGCTTTCTAGAGATCCCCTGTCCTGTTTACTTAATGCTCCAGTAAAGGATCTACATTTTAAATAGAGTGTCAAATTATTTTTTTTAATTGTTGGCAGCTAATCTTTGTACTGCACATAACTGGAAACATGTGAGCCCTCCTCCTATGGAATTGTGGTATAGTAAAATGTGGACTATCCTTGTAATGGATAAGCCTGCGCACCAAGTGCATATGCAAGAGAAGCACCAAAAGGAGGATAGATATTTAGAAATTTTGTAGCCCTTTCTAGTGTATTCAGTGGAGGAGGGCTCCCTAGCCAGCAAGACCCGAATCTTTAGCCAGGTTCTTTGAATATTAACCTGATCCTGAATAAGTGATATATGATATAGTATGGTAATGTTTTGTTGTAATTCTTCCTCTAGTAAAAATGTAAAGAACCCACGAACACTCCAACATCACAAGATAAAAAGAACATGATTTTTTAAAAAGTTTTAAAATATCATGATTTTTAAACTAGTCTCATGACTCGTGTGTGTGTGTCCAACTCTTGATTTTTAAACACTGGGTGTTGGTGCAATTGATACAGAATCTGCTGTGTTCTGGCTTCCTCACTGGTGAACAACTAGTGTGGTTTGGAGAAAACACCAGTTTTTTCATAAACCAGAAAATGTTTCTCTGCCACTTTTGGACCCGAACTGGTTAGCATCACAAGTTGTTGAACACTTGGTAGTTTAATATAAATCTCAGAGCGGATTGCTTTGTAGGAGTGCTAGGAGGGAGGAGGAAGAGGAAGTGTTTTTTTTGTTTTTTTGCTTACTTCTGTATGACACACTAAAATTGTTTTTCTCCTGACCTTATTAACATGTTCGTTTCCTGAGGCTGAAGTGCTTACACATCAGGATATTTTTAAACTTTCGGTGCTGTGGTTATGTCAAGTGATTAAAATGGCATATTTGTTGTCTCTTGTTTTTCTTACTGGTTTTTTTTCTTTTACACAGTTCTGTTTTCCAAAGGCTTTTGTTCAGGCTGGGTAGCATTCCCCAAGTTTTTTTGTGTTATAAACATGGCATCTTTATTAATTATCATAAAGGCAAATAGATGCAAGAGGACAGCGTGCAGAAGGAAGGATTTTTGGCAAGTTGTCTCTGAGAATTGGAAGAGTATTTTGGAGCTCAAATTGAGAGGAGATGGAAGTGTTTAGGGTTGCATTGGCCCCTGTGAGGGATAGAGGGGGGATGGGTGTCAATGACGTAGTATTGGGAAGCATCCAATCTCCCTCGGTTCCATGCCCTTTAGCCTCCTTTGTCTGTAATATCTGTGCACTCTCCCTACTTTAGTTTTGGTCCTGTGGCTATGTGAGGAGTGTAACAATGCACTCTTCCTGTCAGTCAAGCACCACCTCTGTGATTTCAGGTTGTGCTACTTTAGAAATTAAGCAGTTAACATAATTGTCTTTTGTGTGGACTTTTCTTTGGCTTTGCAACAACCTACTGTTGCACTTGAATGGTTCAGGTGAGAATTGAAGCATCCTGTTCCAGCTGTCAAACATCTAAAGTCTCATGCGTCTGGATTGGCAGGCATGTTGTCCTTCCCGGCAAAAAGAGCCTTGTTCTCCAAACCCACAAGGAGGTCAGACCAGATGATCATACTGGGCCGTTTTGGCCTTAAAACATATAACTCTCTGGAACACAGACTTTAGGTTTTCCAAATCTTGGATTTAGAACCCACTCTGAATTGTTCATGTTTATCCATACCAATTTTTTTACACTATGAACAGTGTAATAATGGTAGCCATGTAACTTGCTCATCTCCGATACATGAGTTAGCTGTTACTGTGCAAGTCTCATTAAATTCAGTATTTGTATTCTATAAGTAATAGTGATCTATTTTCACGAGGTTGTATTGTATTGAATTTGGGTTCTTAATCTTTTTCATCCCCAACTTTCAAAAAAAGGTGTTTGTTTTGTTGCAAATCTAAAAAGAGGTGCTGTCAACAGAAAAGCTAAATACTAAGTAAGTATACTAAAATATTGATACCATATTTTAAACTGAAAAACCAAGCCATTTAATAACACTAGAGCGTTTAGTCTTTCAACACCCCTGTTAGGTAAGAAGATAGGGAAACAGGTAGAGCTCAAGTGACTTGCCCAAGAAGTTAATATTAATACTTGATCTCATTTTAACAGATAAACTCCTAAGATTTAAAAAAAAATGAGGTAAATTTTTAGAAATGAATTGACTTTTAATGGGGCCAGAAATGGAGATGGCTTAGAGCTGCTTTCTGTAGCTCCATCATGATCATCATAAAATGGGGGAAGTCGGGGAGCTGACCCCTGCTTTTGAGAAACTTGCAAGTCGCTATCTGCTGAAACAGTCATTTAGAACTGGTGTTCGTGAACACAGATAGTGAGTGCTTCCCTGTGTGGAGTAAGGAAGTAGTGCAAATTGATGAGGATTTGCTGTCACTGCACTGCTGTGAGGGAGCACTGTTGTGTCCTGGTAGTAGACAACAGATAACACTCCACTAAAAAAGAAAGAGGAAGACAATTTTTTTTTCAAGTTACTCTGTCCTGATGCTCTTTGTGAGAGAATTTAAAATAATGGTTTTTTACATGAGAAAGTTCTTTGGACTAGCCAACTTATGATTGGCAGGGGAATGTTGAATGAGGTGATGATAAAAGGAGCCTTAAGAAAGGGAAGGAAAAAAGGGACAGTGAAATAGCAGCAGGCCATTAAAGAGTAGTAGAGAAAATAATCTGAACACAAGGTCTTTAACAAAAAAAGGGATACATCTCGAGAGCAGGAAGATGGAAAGAGAACTTGTTGTCCCAACACAGATATAGGAGGTAATTTTTTATTGGTTTCTTGTTTTACGTTGATAGCTTGAAATAACTTATTCAGCTTATTAGACATGCAAGGAATTTTGGTTTCTTGATCACGAAATGTGGCAAAATACTTAGGCCTGACTAAGTCTTCCACTAACAGTTTCTTCACTGTTATCTCAGGGTGAGAATCGGGAAGGCAGCCTCAGTAGGTCATAGAGTAATTAAAAATAGTGATAATCTTAGATCCATTAGACTTTTTGAAAATACTAAATGCATTTTGATGGAAAAAAGTACATTTGTAACAATGCCACTCCTCTAATGATGTTTCTAGAATAGTAACTTTTCTGGCCTATATGTTTCTTGTCTTGGAGTCAGGCAGAGAAATGCTTTGAAACAGTTACTTGTACAGTTACAAATGGCAAGTGTTTTGACTTCAGTAATTTCCCAGTTTCTGAAGCTGTAAATGCTAAGACTAATTTGTTCTTTTATAGGTAAATGGGGGCATTGAGACTACCTTAGAAAAGGAAGTCCTGCAGTATGACTACCATTCTTCATATTTTGATATATTTGTAAGTATTTTGTTTTAGAATTTCTTTAAAACATGCTTAATGCAAGAATTGGGATTGTTTTTTTTATCCAGAGAGGCCTTATCTTTTATTATCCCATAGTCTGAGTCCTGTGCCAGGGTTAGATTTTCTTGTAACTTAAAAGAGAGGGAAAATGTACTCTAAATCACATCTCTCTTTAAATTAGGATATATAATCTTATGTTTGGGCAATATTCCAGAAATAGATCCAGCAGTAGTGAGGGAAGAATTGATCCCAGGACAATAGCTGACATCTGTATATGTCAGGTTTGTTGCAGATTTCTGTATTTCAACCAAAGTAAATTATTATTTTAAATTTTTATTAAAATCTATGTTTAGATTCTATTTTAAATATGGATGACTATAGACATAATGACCCAGCTGCTTCCCTCTACACACAGGCACTAGGAACAAGGAGGAGGGGGGGAGCAGCACCGCCATTGCTCATTCACTCTCCATATGGGTGGACAGAAGCCCTCCACTCTCTCTTTTTTTTTGAGACTGCAGCTTTGTGGCAGTGTGAAAGTCAGGAAGCAGTATTCTCCACAGCATGAACCATGCAGATATTCACATGCAAATAAATGCTTTTTTTTGTCTTTCAATCAGCAGGATTTGTAGGCTGTGCCCCCTTTCTTTTTCATAACCCTCATTCCTCTTAGGTAATATTAGGCCTTGTCTATCCTAGAGAGAACAACTGTTGACATTGCATTTGTTATATACCAGTTGTTCCACCACTGATGGGTGCATCGAGACTACTTATCTGGAATTAGTGTAAAATGTTGCTCGCATTTCCACACTGGTGCTGCCTTATACCACTTTGGATGACATGGCTGTTATGTTCAACTGCTCCAGCAGCCAAGAGTTGTCCCCTCTGGTGCCTCCCACCATGTCACCTTCAGCAGTGCCCCTGCAGTATCTCCCATCTCATAAAGCTAAATAGCTATCTGATCATTATGATAATCCTGCAAATAAATCCAGCCTATAGTTAAAGCTGCTTATGTAGAAAAACATATAACTTGGAATGGAAAACTCTTGATAGGAGACATTGAAATCCATAAATGATTTAGAACTTACAAGTAAAACTACTTCTGTCTCTAGCACAAATGTAATTAATCTTATTCAACTTTATACTTAGACTTGGTTGTACTTCCGAAGCTATTCTCAGCTTTGATATTTTAATTGCTAAGGGAAAGACAATTCTCTTAAATTGAAGTGTTTGCCTGTTTCAAGTTTTGTGAAATTTTTTTTGTAAACTCGTTTGAACAGATGATGCTTTACAGGTAGCATGGTCTCAAGTAGGGCCCTACCAATTTCACAGCCATGAAAAACATGGCACAGACTGTGAAATAAGCCCTTTTCTGTGAAATCTGATCTCTGCCATGCTGCTGGGAGCACCCCAGCCTGGGGCTCATAGCTGCGTGTCCTGGCTGGGCTGAGGAGGGACAGGACTTGCCCTTCCCCTGCACAGCCACTCTCAGGGGGAGATCAGAGCCACCTCTGGGTGCCTTCCCCTGCTACAGGAAGCTCTGGGGCTGGACAACAGCCCAGGAGGTTCTTGCAGCCGGAGGCGGCTTGTGGAGGTGGGTCTGAACTCCCCCTTGGTGCTGGGAATGCCCCAGCCAGGGGCTCCTAGCTGCTAGTCTCAGCTGGGCTGGAAATGGACAGGACTTCCTCCTCACCTGCATGGCGGCTCTTGCGGGGAGGCGAGAATGAGATCTGACCCATGTCCGGGTACCTTTTGGGTTGGGACCCCCACAGTTTCAACACTGAAATTTCAGGTGTAAACATCTGAAAATGTGAAATTGGCCAATTAAAAACCCTCTGGCCATGAAATTGATCAAAATGGATTGTGGATTTGATAGGGAATGGAAGATTGGGAACTCTAATTCAGAATTCTAATCACACCTATGCCACTGACTTATTCTTTGGCCTTGGGCAGGTTCCATAAGCTCTCTGCGTCAAATTCTTCCATTGTAAAATGTGGGTAACTCTGTGTCTGGAAGAATTATTCACATAGATCTTTGAAAATGTCCAATGCGCAAGACTAATTTTTTGGACACAGAAAATAAGAGTAAAACACAAATGAAAAATTGCAGGCATTCTCTAAAGGGAAACAAATAAGGATGACTATATGAATAGTTGTAAAACCTTTATTTCAGTAAACCTTTTAAATTCTTCAGTTACAGAAATCATTGTATAAATATGTTCATTCCCATCCCATCATTTGTAAGGTAGAATATTTAAAATATACTTACACAGTAACCCATTAGGTATTTGGCAGATTAACTATCTGAAAAGCTTAAATGTTCAGGTCCTGAACTATACACAAATGTACCATGTACCTATGCAGATTTAATGTACTTCAGCTGGGTGTCATACTGGTGCGTGCTTGGAGGCCCTCATCTTGCAAACATTTAGACATATGCTTAATTTTAGTCTCATTGACAGCAGTGTTTTATAACTGAGAAGCTAAAATGTTGAGCTTATATCTTAATAAGCAAATCCACTTTCAAAACTTTTTCCTAATAACCAAATTCCTTTCTTTGTGGTGTCCTGTTCATTTACATTACAAGCAGTTGGTATTTTCAGATAGCTAAATATCTTGCTGTTTTTTATACATTTGGAATTAACCAACAATTTTTTTCTTTTCTCTACAGCTACTGGCAGTCTTTCGATTTAACGTGTTAATACTTGCATATGCAATGTGCAGACTGCGCCATTGGTGGGCAATAGCTGTGAGTAGTAGCCAAGCACAACAGAGTTAACGAGAAATGGGTCAAACTTTGGCAAATTTTAGATGCCTCCAAACAGTATATTGAGAAGCGTCTATATATATTAAAATAAATGTAAGAATGTGCAACAGGTAGCATGCCAAACAAATGAGTCCTGGTCTCGAAAATTTTTATGATCATTATTTGGTATACAAATAGTACAAGGTAGTGACTCCTGAAGACCCATTTCCGTTCTTTGAAGAATTCCAGCTATGAATTCCTTTTTGAAATGAAAATGGGAGGGTCAAAATCACCTTGCCTATAGTTTTGACTTGTAGATTGCATCTTCCATCTTTACACAAGGGGCTGGGAGATAGCAAGCCAGACCATCACAAGTGGTAAGCATTAGAGGAGATGCAAAAACAGATTAGGAGTTTTTCTGGAAGAAGTGAATCTCATTTTAAATCTCTTGTGTTCTCATCAGAAGAGAACCACATGATTTGCTGTAAATTGCAAGAGACACGTTGGACCATTGTGCATTAATAGAGCCATGTAGTGAAGGATGCATAGTATCTGTTCACAGTATGTATAGGGCAAGTGAATACCATTAGCCCCTTGCTTTCATGATCACAAATTTCATTCACAAATTTATTTTTATTCTCTCCTATTGCACTTAGCAACCCCCCACCCCAACTTCCCCCAAAAGACTTCACTATTCATACCACTTGAAGTATTTTTCTAAGTTGTTTACCCAAATATAGTAGCTATCTGAGTGTTTGATTCTGTAAAATGGCTCGCAAAATGAATAGCAGGGTACGTGGGTTGGTATTTGGAGTAATAGCTGTGTTTATTTTTTTCTGAATTAGGTATATCTTTAAATGGGTGATGATTTACAAAATAAGGTATCATCAATATGGAGTTAAATTACAATTTATAATAACTCAGTATCTGCACAGTTTCTAAGTTACCATCTCTGCTGTATCAAAATAGGTGTTTTGAGGCATCCAAATTAAAATGGCTACGCCCGTGGACCCTCAAATTTGAGTTGAAGTTTCAACATCCTGTCACCTCAATCTTATTAATCTGTGACCTTGTTAATTGTTGGGTAACTTTTAATGATATTGCTGTGATATTGGATTTCATGCCTTAGCGATTAATAAATTACTGTATTGTGCTGAGAAAGTAAATCCACAGTTATTAGTGCAGTTTTAACTATTTTTAACACTGTCTTTTTCAGTTCACAACAGCAGTGACCAGTGCCTTTTTATTAGCAAAAGTAATTCTCTCAAAGGTACGTATTCAGATCAAATTCTGATTTATTTATTTAATATCATGGTTTGCTATGAGGAAAAATGTGGTGTTTTGTTTTTTCAAGTTGTTTTCCCAAGGTGCTTTTGGCTATGTGCTGCCCATTATATCCTTCATACTTGCCTGGATAGAAACCTGGTTCCTGGATTTTAAAGTGTTACCACAAGAAGCAGAAGAAGAAAACAGTAAGTTTACTTGTTATAGTCACCTCAGTTTTTGCAGTCCACCTCATACTTTTTTCTACCTTTTACAATAAAAGAGTATTCTCCCCGCCCCGTCACACTAGCAGATTTTGAGTGGATCTGATCCTTGAGACAAAGTGGGGGAGCTAATATCTTTTATTAGTCCAATAAAAGATGTTACCTCAACCACCTTGTCTCTCTAATATCCTGGGGCCAACACAGCTGCGATAACACTGAATGTCTTATCCTTATCTTTTCTCCCATCTTCAAAAGGAGGAGGAATTTCTATACAGAAGGAAGTGTGTTTTATCTAGTTCAGGAATGCCAAAATTCACATCATGGGAGGGCCACATTGGCAACTTGCGATAAACCCAATAGTGTGTCTTATTTTCATATATCTTTACATCTTTTAATAAAAAACATTGTATGTAGCTGGGGCAAGTAAAATTTTTGGGTGAGTGGAGTGCGGAGCTGAGCTGCTGGCTCCTTCTCTTGAAGGGAGCGAAAGAGTTCAGAATAGACCAGGTGCCTCTAGTTGTTTTTGAAAAAGGATGGAGAAAGGAGAGAATAGTGCTCCTGGAGCTATTGTATCTGTCAGAGTATGGGACCAGGGCATCCTATAAACTGCTGCTCCTTCAAGAAGAGGCAAGTGAGGGGCAGAGGAGGAGCTTGGAGGATGAAGACCTCCTACAGACTTATGGAGCAAAGGTAGAGGGATTCACATTAATCGACTTTATTTTATTTTTATATGTTTTTAGTAAGGGATAACATTAATTGGGCAGGATCTTGAAAAAGTGCACGTATTTCTACAAGAAACATCCTCTAGTTTCAACCACTGGAAGATTCAGACTGGGTAATAGTACAGTGAACCTTTTGTATTTACATAAACAATTTAAATCTGGTCTGAAACAAGTGACCGTAAGTGAATGTTTGCCTCTAAGGTCAATAAATCTTGATCGTGGTATCAACAGTGGAGCTCAGTGTCTTCTCACCAAAGCACGTTACAGTTAATCCAGCACATTGGAGCACCAAATTTTTTCACCCTCTCAATCTCCCTTACCATCAAAAAGAAGATAATTAAATTAGAGGGGTTTGTTTATTTAAAAAAACCCAAAACACTAAATAGGAAAATGTAACACATCATTTTTTGCCTTGCTAATTAGCCAGTTATTTTTATTCTGTCACTTACATCACACAGGATCCCAGCAGCTAAGCAGCCTGGTGAATTCAAAGTCAAGCGTTGTTTTAAAATTAGCAGCCTGGATTTTTAAGTATGTCTTTTACAATGAATACTCATAAGCGAAGAAAAGATTTCACATGTGCAACCTGCATCTTTTTGAGGTTCAGTTCATAGAAATTGTTGAAAACCTAAATGTGTTTTCCATTTTTGGTGGGTTAAAGGAGATAGTTATAGTTTTGTTCTATAGAAGTCTATTGTTTTGAAGTACAGTGTGCTCTTGTTTGAGTTACTAAGATTTTTAAAGAAAATGTTGTGTTCCCTGGTGTAGAGCATTGTTGTGCAGTTACTTCAGACACTCCACAGAGCTCTTTCCTTCTATTTGAGAATTCCAAGTGCTCAGTATGTCTTGGGATTTCTCCCCAAGTTTGTGGTTGTATATGTTCTGTGTTTTTATGTATAATACACCGTATGAAATCTTGCTACAATAGGAATTCTGATCTGGACAGCTGAAAAAATCTCTATAATTACACCACTTGGGGGAAGAAAAATGATATTTTTAAGAACTCCTTTGCTGTGAAGAAAAATAGTCATGTGTTCCAAATTAAAGCAAGAATTATGGAAAGTACAATAGTTTTCTTCTTTTTCTGTATTTTAGAAAAAGATGGACTGTAGGATACTATGATTCTAGTTAAATATTTTCATAAATAGGAACATGCATATGCATGTATTTATTATAACTAGACGTGGGCTAACCACCTGGATAAAACTACCTTGAGCCATTTGAACAGAACCCACATTTATTTTGAGATTTGAAAAAAGAGATTAACTCTATGTATTGTATTTGATTCTCACATATGTCTGTATTTTGTGGTTCCTGCTAAAATATGGAGAGAATTTCCAGACATGCTAGAAGTAAAAGCACTGGAAACCTCATGGGAGCTGCTTCTTGTAAGACTTTCAGAACAATCTTGTAAGCTGAGAAGTGCCGGTAAACATCCAGGTGTTTGGTGCTTCCCTGCACTGAGCTGCCTAATTTTGAGGTTTACCCATGAGGTGAGGTTTTAAATTGTAGAGCCATTTTTAATTCCTCCTTTGTTTTTATTCTCCTATTGACTCATCACTTGTGATAGCCATTTTGGTCTCCGTTTTCCCACTTGCCACTAATATTTGGTTTCTTAGATTGTTGCCTCTCAAGGAACTGGTTGGCAGGATAAATTGCTATCTGCAAATAAGTGGCTGAGATGGAAAACAAGGTTCAGCTCTGATTAGAAAATAACCTATTATCACACTATATTTGCCATTAGTTATTTCAGTGTTTAGTACAGATTCAGTGACAGTAACATTTTAAGAAAACAGGGCAGTCCCTATGGCACAGTAAATAAAAGATGGGGAATTTGAATTTGTTCAAGTACCAAAAAAAAGTAGGGAGCATTCCTGCATTGGCATGGAAATGCATTAAAAGCCCTAGTACGTCTTCCATGTCCAACACCTGCGATTCTGAGACTGGCTGAATGTAAATGGAACAAGTAGCATTACTAATCCACGCAGGCTCATTATGCATGATTTTCCTTTCTTTGCTACCCCAGGGCTTGAATTCATTTCCATAAGTAGAACTTAGTTAGGAAGGATATATTGTATTGCCTGGAGTGAACAGTTCACACTTTAGGGGAAAAAAAAACCTGTCCAACGTAAAGTGGTATGATTGGCACAAATTAATAACTAGAAGGTGTTCCCTATTTACTGGGTGGTATTCATAGCCTTCCTTCAGCTTTACTCAGAATTACCTATCCTCATCATCAAAACAAATAGGACTGTCTGAGATTCAGACTTCTTTTCCACAGCACTCTTTGCTTCTTAGAATCATAGAATACCAGAGTTGGAAGGGACCTCAGGAGGTCATCTAGTCCAACCCCCTGCTCAAAGCAGGACCAATCCCCAACTAAATCATCCCAGCCAGGGCTTTGTCAAGCCTGACCTTAAAAACTTCTAAGGAAGGAGATTCCACCACCTCCCTAGGTAACGCGTTCCAATGTTTCACCACCCTCCTAGTGAAAAAGTTTTTCCTAATATCCAACCTAAACCTCCCCCACTGCAATTTGAGACCTTTACTCCTCGTTCTGTCATCTGCTACCACTGAGAGCAGTCTAGATCCATCCTCTTTGGAACCCCCTTTCAGGTAGTTGAAAGCAGCTATCAAATCCCCCCTCATTCTTCTCTTCCCGCAGGCTAAACAATCCCAGTTCCCTCAGCCTCTCTTCAGAAGTCATGTGTTCCAGTCCCCTAATCATTTTTGTTGCCCTCCGCTGGACGTTTTCCAATTTTTCCACATCCTTCTTGTAGTGTGGGGCCGAAAACTGGACACAGTACTCCAGATGAGGCCTTACCAATGTCGAATAGAGGGGAACAATCATGTCCCTCGATCTGCTGGCAATGCCCCTACTTATACATCCCAAAATGCCATTGGCCTTCTTGGCAACAAGGGCACACTGTTGACTCCTATCCAGCTTCTCGTCCACTGTAACCCCTAGGTCCTTTTCTGCAGAACTGCTGCCTAGCTATTCGGTCCCTAGTCTGTAGCGGTGCATGGGATTCTTTCGTCCTAAGTGGAGGACTCTGCACTTGTCCTTGTTGAACCTCATCAGATTTCTTTTGGCCCAATCCTCCAATTTGTCTAGGTCCCTCTGTATCCTATCCCTACCCTCCAGCATATCTACCTCTCCTCCCAATTTAGTGTCATCTGCAGACTTGCTGAGGGTGCAATCCACACCATCCTCCAGCTCATTAATGAAGATATTGAACAAAATCGGCTCGAGGACCGACCTTTGGGGCACTCCACTTGATAGCGGCTGCCAGCTAGACATGGAGCCATTGCTCACTACCCGTTGAGCCCAACACTCTAGCCAGCTTTCTGTCCACCTTATCGTCCATTCATCCAGCCCATACTTCTGTAACTTGCTGGCAAGAATACTGTGGGAGACCGTGTCAAAAGCTTTGCTAAAGTCAAGGAACAACACGTCCATTGCTTTCCCCTCATCCACAGAACCAGTTATCTCATCATAGAAGGCAATTAGATTAGTCAGGCATGACTTGCCCTTGGTGAATCCATGCTGACTGTTCCTGATCACTGTCTTCTCCTCTAAGTGTTTCAGAATGGATTCCTTGAGGACCTGCTCCATGATTTTTCCAGGGACTGAGGTGAGGCTGACTGGCCTGTAGTTCCCAGGATCCTCCTCCTTTCTTTTTTTAAAGATGGGCACTATATTAGCCCTTTTCTTGCGATGCTTAGTCCCTCCTCCCCAAATCCCACCCATCAAAGAGTAAGTCCTAACTTTTTGTGAGTTCTTTTGTATTGAAATAATGTCTTGCAGTAACACAACTTACACAGACCACAATGTAAACAAACTTTTTATAATATAGTACCTTACATTCTGACTGATAGTGGTAACAATGATGCACATTTCTAATTACTGCTTTTTTTTAGGGCTCTTGCTGGTGCAAGATGCGTCTGAGCGAGCAGCTCTTCTTCAGCCAGGACATCTCTCTGATGGGCAGTTTTATTCTCCTCCTGAATCTGCAGCAGGTAATTTTGTTCAGAGTGTGTATGCAGAGAATAATTTTCTGTTGCTGTTAGGTTTCCTGCAGATTCCCACAGAGCGTATATCTAATCTAAAGGGCAGTGACACAGTAATTTTATAGTTTGGGTCCAGAAAATGTGATTTGAATTTATCAGAGTTTGATCTGATTTGATCAATTTGCAATTTACGCTTCCCAGTTGTAATTTTTGCTACAATATATAAGACACTTGTTGCAAGTAAAATTCCATGTAGCATTTTAACACTGCAGAAATAAGACTTATCCATTGCTATAAAGCTTTACAATATGAAGTTACATTTATTTTGAAATCTGTCAGCTGGTCAGTTTGACACTAAAATAATCTCTCAAATCCTTTTCTAGTAGTGTCAAGAAATATAAAACCTGTTCTTTAGATATCTGATTTTTAGATCTGTTTAGTTAAGTAAGTTTACTGTTCAGAGAGGAGACATGATACTGATATATAACCTAATGAATGGAGTAGGGAGGTCTGAGTCCTATCATACATAATACAAAAGCAAGATCACAGTCAATTAAACTGAAAGGCCAACAAATTTAAAACAGATCAGAACTTGAGATCAAGGGGTTTCCTGCTCTCATGTCATCAGAAAATCTGAACAGAAATAAGGGCTTGTCTACACTACTGCTTAAGTTGATGTAATTTACGTCATTCAGGGGCAACGTAAGTTAGTTTCACTTAAAGCAGTGTCTATACCACGCTATGTCGGCAGGAGACACTTTCCCACCAACATAGCTTCCGCCTCTCATTGAGGTGGAGTAATTATTCCAATGGGAGAGTGCTCTCCTGTTGGCATAGTGCATCTTCACCAGACGTGCTACAGCGGCACAGCTGCGTCGATGTAGCATTGTAGTGTAGACTAGCCCTAAGTGTTATAGATAAAGTGTAAGCATGCTGAGTTCTGTTGAGGCAAACTTCACTTGCATCTTAACTACACTTATGGTGCACCTCAATTGGGTCAGTGTAAGAGGTGACTAGACACAAGCCAGAAAGAAACAGCTTTACTATCTGATTCAAGGATGAGTTTGCAGGGAGTGCAGATACTGTCATCTGTTTACTTGTAGAATGAACTACACCTGAATTCTTTAAGAAACAAATATGGAACCCCACAATACCACGCTAGTCATTTTTCAGAATAGGATTGCACTTTCATGCAGTCATGCTGTCTGTTCATACCTTTTAAAATATGAAATCAAATCAAATATTGTCATCTGCAAAATATTATAAATATCTTCCTGTAATCTTGCAAGGTGTGCTTTATAAATGTCTACTTTGGCATTATTTTTCACAGGTTAATTGAGTTGCTACCCTTACAGTTCCATTAGGGACTCTTCACAGCTCTCTGATCTGTCAGATGTGGGGGGTGGAACAAAAACAATTGTGTCAGATTTCTGTGAGGAGCTTATCTGTCAGGAATCTGGACTTCTGGTCTTGTTACAGTGTTGTAGATAGCTGGCTGAATGGCTTTTGGCACCAAGCAAAACAGTTCCTGGAAGCGATCCCATCTCAGTCCTTCTGCTGCTATCTTGCTGCTGCAGCATGATCAGAGCAATGCAGTGGTCACCCCAGTGACTGGAGTGAGCCTGGTCCTTCCGGTGGCAGGCCTTTTCCATGCTTGCCCCAGGGCACCTACGGTGTTCCTTGGATGTATCCCAAGCCATTAAAATTAAACCCTGAATTTTTGGAAATCAAACTTTGTTTTTTGTTACTGAAAGTGCAACAAAGAGGAGAGTCTTTGCAGTTATTCATAGCTGTATTCCTGCAGTAAGGAAATCTACATAGAATGCTTCAGTTCTCAGGTGCTTTGAGGAAGTGTTACAGGTTAGGAAATCTTTCACTGGGCTGAGAGAGAGGCTTGTACAGGATTTAGACATGGTAACAAAAGCTTCAATAACCAGCTGTGGGGTGGAGGTACCCGTAATAAGGAGCAACAACGTAGAGGTCACACTGGCAATCTCTGTACAAAGGAGAAACTTACATGGGAAGATCACATATCCATTTTTTAATAACTTTGTACTGGTGATAAATTCAGTATTTTATGTCCATAAGGCTACTATTGACAGTTATTTTGCATGTTATGTGGAGGTTAATGTAGAAGTATCACTCAGGAGCAAGAGTGCAATATAATCAAGGATGATCTTGTTATGATGATTTATTACTGAAGAAGGGATATTAACTGCTGAATTTAGTATAAGGTTAAACTGTTTAGCATCATAGTATAATAAAGATAGCTGTCGTATAGTTCCATCTAGTGGTGGTAAGAGGCATTAGGACAATTTAGAGCACAGAATAAAACAGCTAATTGCTCCTGTACCCATATGCTTAGTCACCTGTTGTATCTGAGAGATGATGATATCTATCTAGTAGGTTGTAATTCTGAGACATTAAGAATACAGGCTGAGTATCGGAAGTATTGCATCGTTACCCTTGTAACCTTATTTTGAAATCCACAATGCTGCATTATTTCTTGCCTGTAGAATCATGTGAAGATGCATAGAGTAAAAATAAGTCATACAGGTAACTTTAAATCAGAAAATATTTTAGAAAATTATAATGTCCACTGGTTTAATCTGGTTTTCAGTAGATTTTGAGGAATAATGGCAGAAGTAAGCAGCCAGATCTAATCCAATCTAGTGGCACAAAAGCAGAGTTTTAAACAAAAAATTAGGGATATGCTGTCCAGTCTACTGCTACAGACAAGAGAATTGGGGTTTGATAGCAGCCTTTGAGACTGGGATTTTTAAAGGTCTGCTGAAGAGTATACTCATTCTAGAAATGATCCTTACTGCTATCATGGATTAAAGCTTCCTTAGATTGTGTGGGCCAAGTTTATTGCACACACCAGGAGATCCTTGCATTCTTCCATTCCATCCCGCATCCATCCATTCCATCCCTGTCTATCATCTTCCCATCCCTCTCTGTTTTAGGGACTCCCCCCAACCTCTTCCTGACAGGGATTCTCTGTGTCCCATTCCTCTATCCCTCCATGCCAGTGTCCACCATTCTCTCCATAGCAACAGCTCTGTGTGCATCCCATACCAAAGTCCCTCCAATTTCCCTCTTCCAAAAATGATGTGCCCGCCATTCTTCCCTCCCCTTATGCAAGTTCCCCCAGGGGCTTTCTGTGAACCTCCATTGTCCCCTCCACACCAGGGGCTGTGTGCATGCCCCACCTGCATGCCCTCCATTCCTCCCATACCATTATTATTTTTGTGGGAGGTGTATCATTCAGGGTGTCAATATGTTACTGTATTGGAAAGACAAGCAGAGGTTGGATAGGGTGTTGTCGTGCTGGAAGGTGTTATTCGGTGCCAGCAACCAGTTGTTTGATCTGTGGACTATTATAAAGGTGCTTAAAGTGTTATTCCTTGTTTTCCCCATTCTGGTTTTCCAGTTTTCCTCAAAATAAATAGGGGTCTGGCCTAGAATATTTCTTGGAATTTTAGAATTGAAAGATATTGAATTATGAACAGAGAAATGCCATCAAGTTGAGTGTAAGACCTTTGCAAGCTCAGCCAATAAATTTAAAGTCAGAAATAGTATAGACAATATCACTGGAGATATAAATTGATGACCATATTTTTCATTGTCAATGAGGAGAGACTAAAAAGAGAATGAGCAACATTGGGATATAATTAATTTAAGAGATAATAAATCAGAATGTTTCAGTATATATCTAGGTGGTGGTCTAGAATGTCACAAAATAGTTTGCAGTCCATTGGGAAAGCTGGCAAATAAACATCTGATAGAAATTTAAGGGACACTCTTAACTTGAAAATCATACGTTTGAAAATTCTGTACCTACTATTGCTAAAAGTAAAACCAGTGATTATTGTAACTAAAAGATGGTAAAAAAAATTTCTCTATCAGTTCATTTGCTTTGTGTGTCTGATAGCTTTACGTAGAGTTACTTTCAACACTCCCCTTGCTAATCGGCTTCTCCTATGGTAAAAAGACCAATAGGAGAGCAGAAAAACCCTTTACACTTTTTTGTTTTAAATTTTTAGGGCTTGTCTACATGGCATGGCCACATGCACCAGAGGGGTGTAAACTCTAGAGTGCTCTAAAATATTGCACTCTGCCCCTTAATGCACTCTTAATGCATGTTAATACAGTACTGTGTCATATGGGACGATATTAACACACAGTAGGGACCTTTTAGAGCAAGTCAACAGGGCAGTTAGAGTACAACACATAGGAGCACTTTACAGTTTACACCCTTCTGGTGTACTGTGTAGACAAGCCTTAGTGGAACATGGAATAGTTTTAAGTTAGTCCTTTCAAAAATGTAAAGCTGTGTCCCTTTAAGAGGAATAGCTCAGTTTCAGTTTACTGTACTTACAGCCCCTTTATCTTCAATAAGCAGCTAATGGTTGCTGAGTAACCATTGTGGTGAGAGCAGGTGCTAACTGAGCCAGGCAGCAGTTAGATTTTTACAGTTTCTTTTAAAATTCAACTTCAAAATAATAGAGGCAGTTAAGCCACGACAAAGAATTTTAATGATTTGAAGTAGTTTAGTTTAAAAAAAAAATCCCTTCATGCTCTGTGACTTTTTTACCACAGATTTCATGTGAAAAATATAGCATTACTTTTGTGGTCCACAATCTGGCTTAAAGATAGTGGCACAGATCTCCAGAGTAAGTTTCCCAGGCATTTTTCGTCATAAACAGTTACAATCAAATGAGATTCTCACAGGAAAAATAACTGTCCAAGACACATACTCAAAGCTGGAATGGTTCAGAGGCTGAGAAATTTCTCACTGACCGCAAGCAGTGTTCAGTGCCAGGTGTGGTGGGAACAAAGGAATCTATAACTCAAAACATAGCTACAGAACTTCTGTTTGCTGGTCCGCATCTGACCAGTTTAGTATCCCTGTTGAGTTGGCACTAGATTCTGAAGGGACACTCCCTCCAATGTGGCACAGTAGGTTGAGGTTCTAGGCAGGGGTATAGAAAGGGTCCACCTCCACTCTAAAGGGTTTACTGATTATAGATGTGTGTAGTACAGTGGTTCGAGCTTAAGACTGGGAGTGAAGTTCTCCAGAATTCTAACCCCATCTCTGATACTAATGCATTCTGTGATCTCGAGTACGTATTCCTGTCTCTAAAATGGGGTTAATAATTAACCAATGGTGGTCACAACTGTGCTGTGATAATCCTGATTAGTTCAGTCTTCACGTCATATAAATGGATACCATTATTTCAGTAATGGTGTTTGGATTACTAATGACCTGATGCTTATAAAATACTTTACTTAGGCCTTTACTAGCATTTCCATTTTACACAAAAATCTCTTATTTTAGATTAAACATCAACAGACCCCGGTCGTCGGTGGGTGGCATCGAACCCGGGACCTCTGGAGCTTAGTGCATGAGCCTCTACTGCGTGAGCTAAAAGCCGTATGCCTCTTAGCTAAGGCTGCAGAGCAGACTCATTAATCTTTCTCTCTCAAGTGGTCTCGGTGCTACTAGCTGGGACAGAACACCACACCCACCCCAGTGTGTGGGTTACATTAGAAAAACCTTATCTTCACAATTTGAACTGTTTTTTTAATAAAGACTCTGAGTTTCTCTTACCAAACTAATAATGTTATTCTTTTCCTGTTTAGGATCTGATGAAGAATCTGAAGAAAAACAGGATAGTGAAAAACCAATTGTATAGCAACTATGAGAGATAACAGGCAAGTCCTTCTTTAGGGAAAATGTCTCTTGCATAAAAAGTCTCTTTTATTAATCACCTAGGAATTAGCCACAATCCAAATGGTTAATGCTGTTGGAACTGGCCTGTTTCTAATGTCTGAGATGGCTGTTAGGGAGCAGAAGCAGATATATCTGATTGCTGAAAGGGTGAATTAGGACCCACCTACAATGAGTTCTGAGTATCCCCGTTTTTCCTCTTCCTGGAGACAGCAACAGGTGAGGTCAAGGCACACTGGGTACTCTGGTAGGGTCTGAGATGAACTGTCATGGAGCACATAAAAGGAAGTGGGCTAGCCATGTGTGTGCATCTGTTGGCCCCCTGACATTCCTCCCGTTTCTCACGTTGGAAGATGGGGAAGAACAAGAAGTTAGAGGATCTTGAGTAGAAGAGAGAAAGGAGCAGAAGTTACTTTGAGTCCTTTCTCTTAGGTCGGGCCTACACTGAAAAGTTAGGTCAACATAGTTGCTGTGAAAAAATCCACACATTAGAGTGCTGTAGCACCTCCGCTCCCCTCCCCCAACGTAGACACAGCTAGGTTAATAAAAGAATGCTGCTGTCCCCTGGGGAGGTCAAGTTCCTACAGCCAGGGGAAAAACCCCTTCCATTGCTGTAGTATCCATGCTGCGGTGCTACAGTGGTATAGCTATGGTGCTGTATCTGTAGTGTAGACATGACCTAAGTGTAGAATGTTGGGGGATTCTGTGTGTTAAAGTGTTTTAAACAACAGAAAGAAGAGGGACAGGAGACCATATCAGGGTCAGGAAAGGGTTTGGCTACTTGGTGTATGCCTTACGTTTTATGTGTTACCCTCTCTTAATTCTTAGTACAAATTATTTTCTTACCTATCAATTTTATTAACTATTGAAGAAACAGAAGTCTTTCTATAATATTTCACAGTAGTCTTTCCCTCAAATGTGCTCACTGTACTAAAACTGATGTTGTTTCTAATTGATGGGGAATTAATCCTCTTAAGAGGCTTAAGTTCCTACCTGTCTTTTTTTCATAGCTTATTTCTGATTTTTTTTTGTGAGTAGTAATGAGATATTGCTCTCTCTTTTTGAGCCTCTCTCTCTCTTAATGTCCATTGTCTTGGATCAAACTCTATTCATCTTGACTTGTTTTATCTCTTACAGAGTGAAAATCTGAATCAAAGGCCATTAGGGAATTGCCTATTTTGAAACTGTAATGACAATGTCTGCAGTTGACTTATTGGTGGAACTGCTAACAAAAGAATTTATTTATTAGCGAGGAAAGAGGAGTGATTCCCGTGTACTGTAATACCTCACAAAGTTGTTCTGTTCACATATATATATTAGACTGCCTCATGGCTGTTATGAAAAATTACTCATCCATATTGTATTCAGTGATTCTTGAAGTTGATCTTCTAACGACTAGGTAGCTACTAGAAAGTGTTGTGCTTGTGTAACTAATCAGTAGACCTGGTAATATATTGAAGTAACACTTCTGTATGATGGAAGTATATTTAATGATTGTTTGAATTCACCAGATAAAATTTATTTTACATTGTTAAATATTTGTCTTGTTAATTTTTACATTTTCTTTTTTTTTAAACTCCATGCTTTTTTTTAATGGACTTATGCACTCTTTGTAAAATAAAGAAAAATGTTAATAAAAACAATGTGACATATTGCGACATGTTTGTCTGTCCCTTCACATAGTATGAAGACCTGCCTTTCCAAACTCCTTGTCTCTCACTGGGAAACAAATGGTCTATGTTGACTTTCATTTTTGTATAGATTTTATGGGACAGCACTGTAAAGTTAATTTATTCCTGCCTATTGTGACAGACTCGTGTGGTGGAGTGTAATCTCTAAATATAGCCTGTGCAACAGTAGAATCCTGTTTATTCAAGCAGGAGGCAAATGTGGAATTTATTCTAATAAATGTTTTGGACAAAGTTTTCAATGCAAAGAGTAAACAACTCTGTTTTGGTGAAATGGGTTTCAGGAAATGAGCTTCTACAATAATTATGTGGATTGTGGGAGGGTGGAAACTGTAACCTACTTTAAAATGAAATTAAGGCCTAGGATATGAAAACTATTCACAGAGAGCAAATCTATTCAGTTTTTATTGATAGTCTCCTTTTTAAGTAGCATTAGCCAGAGAAAACAGGAAACTTTAAACCTATGGGTGTGATTTTTGGGAGTCTCAGTTTTTGGGTGCTCAACTTGGGACACCTCAAAGGGGCCCTGATTTTCAGAAAGTGCTGAGCACCTGCACTTAAGGTGTCACAAATTGGATAACCCCAAATTACTAGTTACTTCAGAATCTTGTGCCATTTGTTTGTTAATTTTAACACCCAGGTGCATAACAGCCATGCTCCTATACCTTCTTATGTGGGTGTCCATGCTTTACTCAGGGTTTAATGAGTAGCAGGTGCCCTGTGATATGATAGCAGTAGTTTCAAAACCTAGCCATACATTACCAAGTAGAAAAACAGTGAAACCGTAGCTTTTTTCACAGCTCTATAACAGCCATTAGCAGATCATATTTCATCCAGAGTTGCATGAAGCATTTACTTGAGGGGGAGAATAATCCATGGGTAGTTGCCATAACATGTATCGGTGTTTTGGTAGTGAACGTTACATTATTCAGGTTTTCTGTGTAAGAATCTTACTTATGCTCTACTGGCAGACGTCACTGTATGGTGTTTATCTCTAGAAGTACCGCATGCTTCCTTCAGACTGTGAATCCCTTGTCATTTTTCTAGCATTTTTATCAACAATTGCTGTTTTATAATCAATGTGCAGTGGGTGGAATTTGTACATTATTCATATTTCTTAGTAACTGTTGCCCTAATTGAATGTGGATTGTCATTCTGGCACTGTGACCTATGAAATCATAACCAGTAGAAAATAGATATTCAACCGTGTGTGTGGATACAGTATGGTAGGACGCTTGCCCTCATAGTTGACAAGATGGTTATCTCCTGAATGGTATTAACCTCACTAGACAAAATCTAACTTCATGTAATGACTTCATAGTAGGAAGGAGGAACATCAGTGCATGTAGCTTTCCTGCAATCCTTCTAGTCTTGCAATGGTAGTCTATGTGCATTAATGTGCCTCCAACACACTGTAGATTAAACTGCACTATTTCTACAGATACCATGGTAATAGACTATGAAGTGTTACTGTCCTCTCTGCATGTAACTCAGGCATGTCTTTGGATTACTTTGTATTTCCATTAGCTGTGGCTTGTAAATACGTATGTGGTGGGGCGCAGGACTGGCTGTGGTTTAACTGTCCTCATGTTATCTCACACACCAATCACAAGCTACCTTTTCTGAAACAGCAGTGACTAGCTTAGTTTATAGAATTTTCCACTAAATAACCACATCTTCCAGCAAACAAAATAACTCAAGCCTCAAAAATAAACAAGCCTTAAAACAACCCCCGGCTCCCATGTTCAGCATGTAAAAGTGCAGCAGGAGGTCATGTTCGGTGCTCATGAGCCATTGCAGCTGTGAAATTTGCTACCGCAAACTTGATAAACCTCAGTAATTGCTACAAGGTAACTTCACTCAGGGCTGGGGGTAAGCAAAGGCCTTTCCACAAGAAGCTTAAAAACATAAAAATATGTTCTGCTTGTGGCTATGAACATAGCTCCCATAAAAACAAACAGAGAGGGCAGAATCGGCACTACAAATCTAATTATTGCAATCTAATTAATTTTTAAAAGTTTCCCCTCTTCCTGCTATCATGTTCAGGGTGTTGTGCAAACAAAATGAAATCATAGTACAAAATAAGTCTCAATGGTAAGTATTTTTGGTAAATATTTTTCTTTAAAACTCAGGCCTGATTCTGAGCTGAAGAGCTATGATAATTTACATCAGCTGAGGATCTGCTCTGGTCAGAGCAAACTTGGCTTATTAATGTTAGTGGATTGTGCTGTGTCGTCTTGTGTTCTGGACTGCAACAGCAGCAATAGGGGTGTGTTTCGTTTTGTTTTTCTCCAAAATATAAATGTGTACTAGAGTCCATCGTAATTGTATATAAAGTATTTGGTCCAAAGATAGCTTTGTAGGTATTTATTTTCACTTAAGCAGGCCAAGCTAGCCAATTTAAATACCAGTATGTTTGAAAAGTTTCAAGGCTAAGACATTACCTACTGAAAAAGGGCCAGGCGCTCCACCCTTATATTGAACAGTACATAGTATCCTAATCTATAACTAATCCTGTTGATTTCATTGGGCAAATTACTCTAAAATAAGTGGGAATGGCAGACTTTGGTACAAAGTACTTAGTTTTCCTGCAAATGTTGTCATCCTTTGAAAACAGAAGTATTTTAGTTACAGTATGTTTTTCCCACTTCCCTGTTCCGTAGGAAACTTTTTTATTAAATTGTTTTGTTGGTTAAGCAATGGAAAACACATCCTATGTATGATTCGGGAAATAACACAATTGTTTTCTTTAAAGAATTTTAACCTCTTCAGAAGTAAATACAAGTATGCAGAACCTGTGTAATCTTCATACAGGATGTGGGAATACTAAGAACATAGCTGCACGGGCTATTAAAGATATACTGCTAATTGTGTATATATGTAAAATACAGCTAATATGATTTTTCCTATATGGATACTGCAAGCATTCAGGGCCCAATGTGGTTGTACTTATGCCAATAATTTGCCCAGACTTGGACAAAAATTTTAGAACAGATTAATATTAATGAAAATAAGGACTTGCAGAGTTTGGAGACGCGGAAAAGTTCAGAGTGATATCCGAGAACTCTTGCCTTTATTTATTGGTTTAAAATGAACCGTTTGAGCTTAAAGTATGCATTAAAGAGAGTATTTCACTTCTTGAAATTCTTTAGGCATGTACTGAAGAGGGTATATCCAGTTAAGATTGTATTTCATTCATTGTAACTTGTATGTTGTTAAAAGATATAATATGGAAGTTTGCCATGTATAAGGCAGGTGTGCGTGTTTAGCTTTACCATTCTCTTCCAGACTTGTGTATGTCTGCCTTGAAAAAACTGTTTAAAAAGTGTTTAGATTTCCTTTAAATAAATAAACTGGACAGAATATTTTGTAATGCTGAATTTTATTTAAAATCCATTAATCTTTCCATTTTAAAAAAATTACTCATATTTCAGAAGCCTTGTTTTTGTTTTATAAAGGAAATAAGTGAAATTAATAGAAAGAAATGACAAATCTTTTTAAATTCTAGATTGGGACTCTACACCTGCAAATATTTATGGGACGAGTCTTCCCATTGACTTCACTGTTTGGAGTTGGCCTATCCACAACCAAAAAGTTCTTTGTGTTTTTGCAGGATAAGGGCCTAAGAGACTGGTTCTGCACTACTTTGTGATGCAAAATTCCTATTGAAATCAAGGAGTGTAGCCTCAGCCCTTGAAGTTCCACAGTTACAAAATTAAAATAATAAAATAGGAAATATGGTCACACATAAAACTGTTTGCTCTCAAGCAGAAGAAGCCATCTGTGCTAATTAGAGAAATAGCCAACCAAATCAAATTGAAATGCATGTCTTAATATTTAGAGCAAGGTGTTTCTTATGAACAGGCTTATGGCAAAGCAAAGTAAATTTCAGACACAAATGCTGACATTGGAAGTTGTAAGGAGAAGTTTAAGGTTTCTTTCCCCGGTGCTTGATTGGACTTTGCATTCTGTAGATGAAGAAGAGTACGATGACGTAGTACATGGTGCTTTTCAGGAGTAGGACAATGTATATTAAATACGCCGTCCTGTGCATGAAACTGTCTGTAATATCTACAACAAAATACATCAACAACAAGAACAACAAGTGGTTAATGTTGCATATTCTATAGCCACAAAGAAAAATAACTATAAAACCATGTGTGATAGTGTAAGGTATACATGGTATATGATTGCAGTAATTATACCACCTAATCAGACTATGCATAAATCAGTATCTGATTGTGTCCTCTAAAGAGGTCTACGTTCTGATCAGACCTTCCCATCCAGCAGAACTGAGACAAACAAAGAGGCACTCTCAGGGCTGGCATCGTTGGTGTCTGCTAAGGAGTAAGCAGAATGCTAGTGCTTCTTATAAATAGGCTGTTGCCATGATTTTAGGCCAAAATTTTCAGACCTGGGTGCCTCCGTTTGTTCTGAGTCTGTATCTAAGCAGCTGATCAATCAAGTGGTCTGATTTTCAGAAGTACTGAAATGACACTGAAATCAGTTGGGTCTTCAAGCTTTCAGCACCTTTACGCCCCATTTGAAAAGTTTGGCTTTGAATACTTTTTGTAATTTAACATGTTAAATATTAGATTAAGGACCAGTGGCATGTGTAGGTTAAAGAACAATGACCCATGAGGCATGTTAACAAAGCACAACAAATCCCACCAAAACATGTATTTCAGCAGGACTGCTACAGTGTGTAACCTGAGCTGCCCGTGGGGATTAGGTTTTGGACCCTTTTGGTAACCCACAGCAGATGTTAACTTATAGCAACAGGTGCCGACTTTCTCCTTTCCGGTGGGTGCTCCACCCCACTTCACTGCTTCCCCTAAGGTCCCACCCTGGCTCCGCCTCTTCTCCTCCCTGCTCTGCCCCCTTCCCCATGGCCCAGCATCTGCCCCACCTCTTCCCCCCATGATCTGCCCCCTCCCCTGAGCACGCCCTGCCCTCACCCCACCTCTTCCTCCCCCCCTCCGGCCCCTCCCACTAAACAGCTGATCGGCAGGTGGCTGGTGGGTACTTAGCACCCACTATTTTTTTTCCATGGGTGTTCCAGCATCGAGAATAATTATGTGTGGACTATTTAAAAGAGAATATTTTCATTTTTGTCTTAACCATATCAAATAGTGCTTAATTCTTAACTGTATTGTATAGAAAATGAGAATTGGGACAGAATTACCTGTGGAAATCGTGGTGCCGTTTTCAGCATTGTTGATACAGCCTCCCTGTGGTTTGAGGCACTACGGTGGTGTCTGAAAGGGTGTCTGATAAAAGCATAACATGTAAAGAGGGCTTTAATTGTCAAATGGGATTCTTGTTGAAAATGAAGGCATACTTTTCTTGATAGAAGTTCAAAGAGAAAGATGGTGAAAAGTATTATAACTACAGTGACTCAAATATGGAAAGTTTATATTTTAAAAAATGAGCACTGAGATTCCATCCACAGAGTAAATGCTCAGTAGCACGTAACTGATGTACAAAACCAACTAGAGATAAAACTGGAAAAAATGCATATGCTCCTGCAAGTGAGTACTTGTATGCCTTATATTGAGATTTAGGAACTGATGTTGCAATGAGATCAGTCAGTGCAAACCTCTGTGCCTGTTAGGAGCTCACTTGAAGTCTTTGGCATTTGCATGGGTGCAGAGGTCTGGACTAGCCGATCTGATTGCAGGTTCTGGACGTTGGCCCTTCTGTGTATGCAAGTTTCTGTTCATGTCGAGCCAGATGCATTTTGTCCCACCAAATTACTCAGTTGTGTTTGCCCCTTTGCAATGTGTACGTATACTCGTTAGATAAAAACCTGGCCACCTGATTTTGTCTAGCCTGAGGCAGCCTGAGATTGTTGGCATTCTGGGTAGTGGTAATGTTGTCTAATAGCTGTACAAGAGACAGAAGAAAATAATCCTGATGAGGATACAGTCTAAGGCCCATCTCTTAGGTATTTTTGATGTGCAAGGGTTGAGGGGGATGGTCAATAAACCCTCTTTTTCCATTACGTTTGAAAGAGAGACATTTTTATCTGCTGTAATTAATTTATTGTATCTCAGATAAGAACCAAACAGAAATTACTTCTCTTAATTCAAGAGAAAAGGGATTATCTTTTTCATTTTGGTTTGTGTAATTCTTCTGGTCTGTTGTAACAAGTTAGATGCTGTGTGTGTTATTACTTTTGTTGCAATATGTATCCCTTGTTCAAAACCAAACACTGTAGGCCGGGTCCGTGGCTGGTGTAAATCTACAGAGCTCCATTGACGTCAGTGGAGTTTTGCTGCTTTACACTAGCTGAGGAGCTCAGCCAACATTTTCATTCATTATAGAAAGATTTTAAATTGGGGGAGAGGAGCCAAAACTGAGCTTTTGATGGAGAAGCTTCAGTGACAGCCAGCTTATGGAGAGATGGAAACTAATAGTGGCCTGGAGAGCGCAAACCCTTTCAGGAACAGTCATACATTTTACTCTTTTATTGTAAAGAAACAGTGAACTCTCTGAATATATATAGCACTAGTTTTAATAATATAGTATATACCTGGAGATTCAATTGGGAGAGAACCTTCTTTGCTTTCATGTTGATATTTGCAACGATAATTCTTGTTGCTATTTTTATCTACGGTCAGCCAGCTGCTTATTGAGTATGAAGGTTGATTGTCATCAGGGGGCCAAATTTCCCCATGCACTGCATTATCCTCTGCATTCTTCTTGTCGTCTTCCCAAGTCACCTTAATGACATTTGGGTAAAAATCCTCAATGAGGCATATGTGTGTTACTTTCCCATCTTGTTCAGTAGAAGGAGGCAGGACCTGGATCTTCCTGGGATCGAGTTTTGCTTGTCTGTCTCTGGATTCATTTTAGAGAGAGAAATGAATGTGTTAGAAATTAAGTAAATTCAGAATTGCAGTATACATGGTATGCTGTGCTTTTGAAACAATAAAAGAATTCACAGATTTGAAAGCGGAAGAGAGGCAATTTCATTTCTTGCATCCAATTCCTCCAAATTGCACTCAAGCCCACAATCTTAACTCTGAGTTCAGCATGGGAACGATATTCTGTTGCCAAATGTATTTGAACTATTTAAGTCTATAATATATTGTTACTGCATATTAAATTGTGAAGGTAGGAGTAAATTATCCACTTATGGTTACAGCTTTAGGGAGTTGGAATTGCAGAAGTTTACGTGCTTGAATTGAATGCAGGTTTTTGTGGAACAGAAAACTGCCTACTAACATAGCTTCCAAACTCAAAATATATTAAACACTTTTTGAATGAATGCTGAGTACAGCTTTATGTTCTGGTTCATTTCAAAACATTTGTGACTTTGAAAATCTCCCCTTTATTTACCCAAAATGTGTATGTAAAAGACACCATGATAAGGGGAGGGGGGGCACCCCCCCCCAAAAAAAAACCCCCCCACCCCACCACCCCCCCCCCCCTCTCTTTTTTTTTTTTGGGGGGGGGGGGGGTGCTAAAAAGGATGTTTAGGCTTGAGCTGGAGCACAAGCTCTGAAACCCAACAACGGAGGTGGCCTAAGAGCCCAGGCTCCAGTCAGAGCCTGAATGTCTGCACTGCAGTTTTTAGCACCAAAGCCTGAGCACCACAAGCCCAAGTCAATTGACCCAGGCTCAGAGACTTGGTGTTACAGGATTTTTATTACAATGTAGATGTACCAGAAGGGAAGAGTATTAAGGATTCCACAAACCTTTTAATAAGGCCTCTCTCTTTAAGAATCACTAGAATATTCTATCAGGAGATAAATTTGCCCTGAACTATCTGCATTTACTATTTAAGAACCTGAGTTAGCACCTTTAAAAAGAGAAAAAAGTAATCTTTAAGCCTTTTCCACACTAAGAAACTGAACCTTTGTGAAAACATTTTTTATCAATTTTTCACCTTAAAATGATATAAGAACACACAAGATATATTCTAGTGCAGACCCAGCCGATACAACTTCAGGGAAACTGTTGCTGAACGCCATTTTGGGAAATTACAGTAAATACAGTAACCTGTATCCCTCAATGACAAATATCAATTACAAAATTAGCAAGGATGATACATCCTGAAATGACTTTGTTCATGTATTTGGCCAGTGTCATGGAGTGTTATGCATAATGCTCAACACCTCTGAAAATCAAGAAACATAAATGCCCAAATAAGTATTTAGGAGCCTAACTTTAGTCAACCACTTTTGAAAATCTTGATTATGAAGCATTATTAACAATGGAGCTCTCAACAGAGCTCAGCGATCAAATCTTTGCTGAGGAATAGAGCTGTGGCTCTCAAACTGGTGACCCCTTTCACATAGCAAGCCTCTGAATGAACCCCCCCCCTTATCAATTAAAAACACTTTTTATATATTTAACATCATTATAAATACTGGAGGTAAAGCAGGGTTTGGGGTGGAAGTTGACAGCTTGCGACCCCCACACCCATGTAATAACCTCGTCACCCCCTGAGGGGTCCCGACCCCCAGTTTGAGAACCCCTGGAATAGAGGGAATGTTGAATTTTATTTCATCCCCAAGTTTGTGTAAGTGCATGAAATAAGACTGAACCAGGTCAGAAAAGACTTCCCTACCAAAATCATGATCTGTCTGCTCCTGTTATATGGCTGACAGTAAACGATACATTTTTTTAAACAGTATATTGAATTTACTAGTAATCACAAGAAGTGAGCAGGTTGAAAACACATCTACTGCTGCTCATTTCAAATCCCTATTTGTCATTGTGGGATACAACCAAGAGAATAAGGTTCCCAACCCAGCTAACTGCCAAAGAAGTATTCTCTGCAGAACAAGGCAACGTTCTCATGTTATAAATGTGCACCACAAAGAAGAAACGGAAGGTTGTTGATATTTCAGTAGTGTCAAAGGTCCCCAAATGGGCACCATGTATTCTGTGTGTTTTCTATTTGCTCCAACACTTAATTGCAGGTGAAAAATTAGAGGCCATTTAACAAAATAGTGGCCTATTTTTTGGCCTATACTCCACAAAACATTGAGTTGGAATTTTTAAAGGCAGTAAGAAGGGATTTAGGTGCCCAAATCCCTTTCAAATTCAGGCTCCTTTGATAATGTCAGCCATTGTCTTTAGTCAACTGAGACACAAATAGAGTTAGGCCCTGCTCCCACAAAGTCTTACACATGTGCTTAATTTTATGCTTTGTGAGTAGTCCCCCTGATGTCAAAGCTTGTGAAGGTTCCTTTTCTAAAATGGTTTCAGCTTATTTTTGTGCTGTCTGGCTATTCTAGAGTTTTCTGAAACTACTTGGAACTGAACCAGACTATAACCTTGTAATTAGGGTTGTGTCAAAAAGGATTTAAAATATCTTGAAATTAGAAGGAAATAGATAGCTGAAATGTAAGACTACCTAACCAAGAAAAATCTCTTCATTAAAGAACTCCCTCACTTTGGAAATTGTCACCAATTTAGGGAATTGATTTTTCTGTTCTTTTCAATTTCGATCCTCATGCTCCAGCACTAATTAGTTCAACATTTGGAGCTCAATCTTACATTCCATATAAACCATAAGCACCCAGGAATACATGATTGGGCTTGACCAGTAGGTTTACCAAATGATTTACTCACTCAAGTCTTGTATGTATTCAAAAAACCTTTACATAGCTTCGTGCCCAGTGATGTTGTGCTTTGCAAAAACGAATGATTATTTCTGGCATTTCTCATTAGATGTTTTTAGAAATTGGAGTGACGTTTACATGTTGATACTTCTGCAAGCATGTAGTTTTTTGTATTTGTAAATGGTTAGATGGGTGTCTATCCAATATAAAATCTGAATTTTGTACATATATAAGCAGCATGTGTGTTTGCATAAGTGGGCAAAATCTGTTTTAACTGTCTCGCCTCATTTTAGGCGAGATATAAAACCCCTTAAGGCCAATGGGCTTTTTTCCTTTGGCTTCAATGGCCTTTGAATAAGACACTTTAAGAAGATCAGACCCTTAATTTCCAAGTCAATTATAGTTTCCAGTGTGGAGCTACTTGTTGTTTTGTCCAATTTAACTTTTCAAAACACCTCGCTTGTCTAATTTATTTAAGTGGAATTTTTAACAAGGAAGGCATGCTGTAAAAGAATATACATGATATATTCTTACTACTTTAAGTATCACTTCTCTTTTTTTAAGACGGCAATTTACTTTGGGCCCTTTGGCTTCCCTCCTTGCTCAAAGGAAATTCCTATTAGTTTCAATGGGAGGTTTTCTAAAGGGAGGATTGCAGGGTTAAGTTGTAATTGACTCAGTGCTACCTCTTTTTGTGTGTGTTTGCAATCTGCATGCCACTTATAGGTAAACTATCATACGTAAATAACGCTGATGTACTATTTGAGAACAAAGGCCATTATGCCGTCAGAATTTATTAAAAAATAAGTAAATGGTATGCTTGTAATTCTAATTTTGCATTATGTGCTTGGTCCAGCAAAGTGCTGAATGCTCCTATGAAGTTCTGAACGCTTCTCATTTCCCACTGAAGCCAACGGACATTGAGGGTGCTCAGCACCTGGTATTATTTACACCCAAACGAGAAAAGGATTGTTACGACATTTCTCTGTTGCTAGCCAGTGACTTATGGTTTCATTAACATTAGTGTTGTTAATAAATTATTACACTCATAATAAAATTTTAGCCAGGGTACATTCTTGCATCGAGATAAATGATTGAGCTTAATTTGATGGATTTTGCCATTATGAAACGTTTAAAATAGTTTGTCTGAAAACTTACTAGTTACGACAAGTTTTGTGCCAGTTCCAAAGATTTTCGCAGCTCCCACAGTGTTACAACTTACAACAAAAACTGCCCAAGGCATGTCCATTCCGAGGGATCAGATCTGAACAGATATTGCTAAATAGGCACAACTGAGAGCCAGTTAATTCAAGCAAGGAAATGGTGGAAATTTCAATACATTGAGCTTACACTGGTATTTTCAAATACTATATATTAATATTAATCAATACCGGGTGAGCTTACATTGGTGTTTTCAAATACTGTATATTAATATTAATTTGGTAGCTTTTAAATTCTGTTTAAACAAAAATCATTCATTTCACTGACAGAGAGGATCTGTTTGACATTTGAGACCTAATGTTGGACTTGTACCTATTTTCTCTTGCCTAGTGGATTGATGGAAAAGGGTATTTCAGTTAAGTTCTGCTGGATGCTCAGTGTTTTTGTCCCTGTACTGCCAGAGTGGTCAAATGGGTGCATTTTTAAAATGCCAATATAAATAAGCATATAATTAGCAAAAATACTCATTTTACAGTAGACGGTGACCTATCTTCTTTTCTCAAGACGTTGTCATGACATCTTTCCACCCACTAACTTCTTACATCTGCTGACTAATATGTACTTGTGATATGAGATGCTAAATCCTGGTCACCGCACTAAGCTGAGTAAAGGGGGTTTCTCTAGGAGAGCTACATGATGGATGGGAAGATGAAATCTTTCCCCCAACCTAGCTAGAGCATCATAGCCCAGGAGCTTCAGTAAAGTCCATGCAGTTGGCCACCCACTGAGCAGGTGTTTTGGCCAGTTGATTTCACTAGTGTCAGACCCCCTAGCCATTCCATGCCCTCACCACTCCCCTACCCCCGATCCCCACTGTTCTTTGGTGCACAGGGGTCCCCTAGTATTGCCTCTTTGGCTTGCACCCTGCACTGGATGTTCTCCTGGTCTGGAGGCATTGACCCCTACACAAGAGAACAACCCAGCTTTGACTCAGGATGAGTAAAAAAAATTCTATATCAATAATTGTCAATGTGATCACTCATCTGTTTTACTTCTGAATTCTGTACATTAACCTCATATTTAGATAGTAAAGACATTCATTCT